GTATATATTTCTATGGTGACCAAAATTGAACACAATATTCTAAAGGTATCACTAAGGAACTGTACAATTTAACATACTGTAGCATCCAATGATTAACATAACATTTCTGAACATTTTCATGAAGATGAAAATATTATATTAACATAAATACCTATAATAATACTTGCTTACACTTGTATAGTGCTTTATAGTACTGGAGTGTCCTTTCTGGACACTCCAGTACTTACACTCCACCTGGATGATGCGATGGCAGCTATAGTGCACCAGAACACTCACCCCACACCAGCTATTAGTGGGGAGGAAAACAGAATAATGAAGCCAATTCATAGATGGGGATTATTAGGAGGGCTAATGGGACACCAGGGTTACACCCCTACTCTTTATAAGAAACACACTGGGATTTTTAATGACCACAGTTTTATGTCTCATCCAAAGGACAGCACCTTTTTACAGTATAGTGTCCCTGTCACTATACTGGGGTATTAGGACCCACATAAGCTGCAGGGTGAGCACCCCCTGCTGGCCCCACAAACACCTCTTCCAGCAGCAGCCTTAGTTTTTCCCAGGAGGTCTCCCATCCAGGTATTGACCAGACTCACCAGTGCTTAGCTTCAGTGGGTTGCCAGTTGTGAGTTGCAGGGTGATATGGCTACTGGCTTACCTACAGTACAGTATGTGTAGGTTTTTTTCTTAAGTTGCTTCTTCAAGCTTAGTGTTTCCAATCTTACCGTGCAATACTCTGCACTTGTCTAGGAGTTACAGATCCCTGTTCTCCTCTCCTAAGTACATCGCATCCATCTGAGTACAGTATATGTCCTTAATCTGTACTCTCTGCTTTCTAACTTTTAACCAGTTCTCTATTCAAATCCTTGCATTACCTTAAATGACTGTTGTGTGCAATTTGATAACTAATCCTTTATTAAAATGTAAAAAAATCATAATAAATTGTGTCATATGTTCTGTTTCTTACCCTTTACTTTTCTGTTCAAAGAGTTAAACAAGACCCATTATTTCTTAAACCACATGTAGGTATCCTCTGCTCTTATTGTCTCACAGTTGATCCTCTATCTGAATTCTTATTTTCATTTTTCATTTGACATGTAATAGAAATACAAATTAATTGGTCTTTTTTTGGTTTTGGTGCACATTTAATGGATAATGTAACTCACTGTTCTGAGTGACTGCTGGCAAAAAATTATTAACAGCATATAAACAACATCTCATGTTTCCCAAAGAACAAATAGAATACCACCAGGTTTAAAAGATTTGTTTATGCAATTATTAATGATTAATTTATTTGGCTGATGCTTTATCCAAAGTGACTTACATGTACACAGTGTTAAAGACTGTGTATTTTACCCTAAGAATGTAAATTAAGTACCTTGCTAAAGGGTACAACAGCATAGTTCCAACCTTTTTTAACCCAGAACCTTCCAGCTATACAGTACGTCCAGGACTTAGACCACTACTCCCTCATATTAAATGCTCCCAGTACTTGTTAGACAGCTTTTCTTGGGCTAAGAGATATTGACAGGTTCTTTCTTTGTAAACAACTGAGTGAAATATTAATTTTCTACATTAAGCATTTTTTCCAATGGGAGCTTCTAGTCCTACTGCTGGTGGGCCAGTTTGGCTGCAGATTTTCTAGGATTTTGTAATGCACCAGCACCTGAAGAGCTGTGAGAATCTTTTTAAACTGTTATTTTTAAGCGGATAACAAACTGATTCATGTTTGATTGGGTATTCCTGATCTAAAAGTTTCCCATTCTTCTCTCTTCACCTCACACACTTTGGAGTTCAGTTCAACATGTACTACCAAAGATAATAAAGAGCTGCATCAACTGCCGAACATCAGTAAATGAAAAGAAAGACTGAAGAAGTAAATTTAAATACGATCCTGCAGCAGGGAAGGGTACTGTACACTGACGTAAAAAAACATTGAAGTCAAAATTACATATATGCCTGTAAGCTTAAATGTGAGAGACTGCAAGGCATTAAAAGTCTTTGTAAAGTACATTCAGTCCTGCTGTAGTTATAAATACAGCCACGTACAACATACAGAGATAACACTGTACATAAGTATACTTATATTGAAAGAAAACACAACGTTTCGGCTGTGGAGCCTTCTTTGGGTGTGAATTAAAAGTGCATGACTATTTTTTTCTTCTCTTTTCAACATGGAATAAACCTATTACTTGTTCTTTTGCAGCCTACGCATTCTGTTGATGATTCTGTACAGTAGGATAGGGTGCATAGGATGCATTATGATAAACTGTTAAGATCCTCAAAACAGATTAAATAGTGACATTTACATGATCCAGATCAATGTTTTATGAATAAGAAACTGCAAGATTACTAAATGTCTAACTAAAAATTTGGAAAAGCCAGAACCAGATGTGTAATTTGTGCAGTTCTTCTAAAACATTACATTAAGGAGCAGTGAAACAAGCAATTGGTGAAACCACACAGCCACAAAACTATCACATACACACCACACAATAAATGTATGTCCATGGAGCCCACTGTATGTTTACACTGTAAAGCAGAATGTTTAAGAATTAACCAGAGATCTTGTGCAACAGTTCATAAATACATTTTCTAAAATGTTCTGTAATGTATTTTGGCAAGTTCTTTTTGTGAAATGATTAACGGCCAGCAGTGACTTGCCAATAAAGCATTTGACCAACTCCAAATCATTACTTGTACATGATAATGATATTTTAATTATATATCACTTGGACTTTTACACAAAACCCCCAAAAGAAAAAAAAACTTTCAGCTGTAAAGAAAAGTTTTGTGGAATTCTACAACAAAAGTATAAGGTTTAAGTTGATGTTGGAGTTTGGAGGACAGAGACCCCAACATCATCTTAAAATGTATAGTGGGGTTATTTATCCACTCTGCAATTGATCAACTGCTGGTGTAAACAAACCATTATCTGTTCTAATAAAATGCTTTGCTATTGGAAGAGGGATTTACATAATATCCAGTGCACTGCTAGTCAAAAAGGTGTGCAGTCAAATTTAGGGTATTATGAGAACCGGCTTCTGAAAAACCTACGCATCTGACATAAAAAAATAGGAACTGCGGTATTTACCTTTATTTTTATAAATGTGTAGATCTGTTCATTCATTTTCTAATCTGCTTATCCAGGGTTGCAGGGGAGAGCAGACGTCTATCTTGGACAATGGGCGCAAGGCCAGATACACTCTGGATGGGACGCCAGTCCTTCACAGGGCACACACAGACACAAAACACACACATGCTTAAGGTTTCATGTCTTGGACTGTGGGGGGGATAACTAGATCACCTAGAGAAAGCCCATGTGAACAACGGTAGAACATACAAATTCCCCTCAGATAGCACAAAATCAATTCTGTTACTTTGCTATTGACATTGGTATGTGTATGGTTATTGAGGTACTTTTACACAAGGATGACTGTGAAAAGATGCATCACTGCTAAAGCCGTTGATAAACATATATAATAACATAATGAAATGTTAAATTTATCACTATTGTACTACAGAAATCCCTCTTCTACATGTGTGGTAAGAGCTGAGCAAGAAGGTCCGCAATGATCTTAAACCTTAGAATGTCCAAGTAATCAAATCCATGATGCCTTGTATCATTAGATACACAGATATTTAAAAATGTAGTGAAATGTAGGCTTTAGGATAAATTAATATTATTTCTGAAGTGCATTCTTTTAGTTTGTGAACAACAGAGGAATCACATCATTCTAAATTATTCATTGTTTTATAGAACTGTGTTAAAACAAGGTGATCTTTTTAACTTGATCTTAATGATAGACACCATAGCTACAGTATTTGTAAGTGATCACTGTTTCTATTAAAGTTGCTTTTCATACATGGGAATGGTTGGTCTGATATATACAGTATGGTTGTTCAGGGGATGCAATGACACTTTAACAAAATAGGTGAATCTACACTGGAATAATGTTTGGAGCTACAAATTTTGTTATTTTTCTGCTTGGACACAGATAAGATTATCCGGTTGTCAACTGTTACTGTAGCCAAGATGCAATATCTAAAATTTGCTGTCAACATTTTGGCATTTGAGGCTGTCTTGGTTTTAATGGTCTGTTAAATCTCATTTCTGTGTAATAAATGAATTAAAATTATTTGTGTCACTTTAACCTCTGCGATATCTTACAAAGCTTCTTTCTTTCAATCATCCCATTAGATCCAATCTAAGCCTAGTTCCAATCTTTTCTAATGTGTATTTATGTACTGTGCTTACCCTATATATACTGTACTATGTACGATATACAGAATGCTTTACTTCTCATCTTCCAGCCTTTACTACTCCAGAAAAAAAAGATCATTGTTGACAACAGGGTTTTTTAAGGCCTTGATTCCCTCACAAAACCCAACACATCTAATTTTACACACAGCATGACAGAAGAATAAATCACTCAATACTACTGGGTATAAAGAGAAGTACCGGTAATCTGTCATTGTTAAGATGATGTCTGACTCCTCTTTTACCCAGTTGGAATCCATCCTACTACAAATTTAATTAGACTACAAGATGCATAGGCACTGAACGGCACACTGGATGATTTGTGTCAGAAATAAATGAGCTAAAGATTAGCCAGTGTCCGCATCCTTTGCAGGGATCATTAAAAAAAAACATACATTATGAACCTCTTTTAAATACTTGTGAATCTTTTGTCTTTGAAAGCACTTATTTTTTTAAACAAATGTATTAAGTCTGAGTAACTAATTAATTTAAACCTATAGACAGTTTGAATTTAAATTGCCAATATCAAGCATACAGTACGGTAGGGTTATTTCTTTCATTTAACTAATGTGATTTCAATATGCCTTATAATTCCATTCTCAATGAGATTCCCCTGCTAAGAAAAAAACGCAGGGTCAGGTGTCATTGCTTTCTTTCTGAAGAAGTGACTGTAATGTGTAACATTAGCTTTAATACTAAGATGAGTGACCTGGGGTTTATGTTTTTTGCTTGACAGAATGTCCTCCAATGGGACTGGAGACCCTGAAAATTGATGACTTCCAGCTGCATGCGTCCACAATCAAACGGTATGGCCTGGGAGCACACAGAGGACGCCTGAACATCCAGGTGCGGAGAAGCTCTGTCTCTTGGAACGCTCTCGAACAAGCACTCAAGCACTGCAAAGGTGCAGAATTTCAATAACAAAGTCTTTGTTCAAATAAAAAAAAAACTCAGAGGGAAAACAGCATTGGTTCATTACAGAAGGATTTGGGAATGTGCAGCTGCAAGCGGCTCACATGAAGATTGAAATATGTCCCCTATAAGCAGGTTTTATAGTGGGTGTTGTTAAAATGTATGAGTTGAAAAATACTGTATGTTTGCCTGTCTTTACCTTCTCATGCAATGTGCTTCTTGTTTGATAATGGGAGAAGCATGTTTTGATTATCTGATATAGAAAAACCTTTGTGCATTTCAAGTGTACTCAAGTGTGGTCCATGTTAATATACTGTACATAGTGTAGTCTATTATAACTCAATCCATATTGCACAGTACTGACATACAGTACAGTACATAGTGAAAATGTTTGCGAACCCCTATTTGTAATTACCCTTTATTCCCTTCCTACCCTTGGTTTATCAAAACCTGTGTTTTTTTTAATAACCAAAGGGGCTTCTATTTACCAGTTCAATATTTTTTTTTTTATGATGCAGTGGTGCATGAAGTAGAACAAAAATTAATCATTAAGAATCAGTGTATGGAAAGTTATACAGTAGTGAGCCCTAGTTTATTTAGCACAGCTAAGGGGGTTATTAGAATCAGGTGGTTGAATAATAAGATAAGTAAACAAGAAATGACTTTGGGAAGCCCTTTCCTATATAATAGAAATTTTGTGAATTTGGTCTTCACCACACAGTTTAGTGGAAACACGTCAGGCCATCCATCTGTCTGCTTAAGCTGAGCTGAAAGTAGGTCACTACAATGATCTTAAACATACACCACAAGCAGATCTACAATAGAAAATGTCCAGTTTTGGGCAGACCAATTCAAAGTCCTAGATCCCATTTAAATGCTTTAGTGAGCTGTTCAGGCAAGAAAACACCTTAATGTTACCTGATGACCTGAAAGCAGTTCTGTAAGGAAGAATAGGTTACAATTCCTAAACTTCGATGTGAGAGACTGATAAATAGTAACAGGAAACATCTACCTTAGGTGAAGTCCTTGTTTTGACATCAGGATATTTACTGTTAGATCATTTTGTAAATTAAAATAATTCAAATATGTCTAATGTCTTTATGCTATACATTTATTTGGGTTATTTTTGTATTTTATTAAGTCTTTCTTTATATCTAGTTGTTTTAGGTTTAAAAAAATGTAAGAATGCGGACCAACCTAGACATTTCACAAACGTTTTCTCAGTAATGTACAGAACATGTCCGGTGTTTGTACCTACTGTACTGTAGATCCACAGTATGCTCAAAAATGAAAAATAAAAGGACTTTTTTAATGCTTACCCAAGTCTCATAAACTTTGAAATAATAAGATTTACAAGCAAGACTTTGAATATGATTTTTAAAAATAAATCTCTGATTAGTAGACTTGTTTTCAAAATCTGAAGAGGGGGCCTATAAAAATGTTTTCCTTCTGCTACAAACTATAAATGATCTGTTGCCATAGAGACTAGTGGAACTTTATATTTATAAGGGCTCCTGAAGCCCTCTGAAGTTTTGTTTTTTCTGAGAGAACTGCTTTCAGATTTTAATTACTTGGAAGAAGAAATGGTGAAAAAAAAACTTTGAAAGGTAAGTACAAGGACAAAGATTATATTTGTATTGGAAAAAGTAGCCTTGCTATTGGTGACAGCCATTTCTAAACAATTTCTAACCCTTTTTGTGATTTGATCTCAGATGTTATTTGATATTAATACTATTTTATGGTTCAAAATGTTAATTGCTGTCAATATTTTAAAGTTATTTTTTAACTCTAGTTGGAGTTGGGGGAACAGTAAGTTGCACTCTTCCTTCTGGCCCTGAATTTTCAAACCAATATCCCAGTAGTGTGATGGGGACTCTTTGCTTTCCTTCTAATGAGATGTTAACTGAGGTCATGGCTAGTGTAATGTCATGGCTACATTTGACCGCATGAAGTTATATTTCATGTCTCCCCCTGATCTGTTGTGTGATGGCCCTGCTGATGTTCATCATCATGATGCTGCATTTCCTTCATGTACGTCAATGGATGATGCAATGGGAACCTTCCTATAGTTGAAGTGCTTTGGGATGAAAAAGCACTTTACAAGTGCAAGCAAATATTAATTATAAAATTGGTGTTCTGGGCTTGGCCACCTTTATTTGTGGCATTTCCATTTTATTGTATCCCATTGAACTTCCTTCCAGAGGTGTGCTGTATTTATTAACAAGTACTGTAGCTCCACTAAATTGTCCCCCTATGGGTTTGTGCTCAAGAAAAGGAAAGCTGGGCAGCCTCATCTATTTATTCCACTCTTAGTCACACTTCCTCTGGTGGCTATCTACTCTACTCCCAGATTCATACATGAGCTACACGGACTTGGGAATTCAATTACCACATATTGCTGTCTGTCTCTGTTTACTCTGGTAATGTATGGTGTGAATTCACAAAACGCTAAATTGATTAAATCCCAAACTTCTGTCTACAGAATTGAGTTGTTCACAAAATATGTACAGTACTGTATATTGGCCTCATGCTCTGCCTATTACTTCCAGATTCTTTCATTGGCCCATCAGAAATAATCAGGATAACATTTTAAAACATCAATTAAAAGAATCCAAGGGAGCTAAATAGTCACAAAATGACACAAGAGTGTATTTTTTCCACACAGCTGAGAGGAGTTAGCTAAAGGGAGAAAGTATATTTAAGTCAATTAATCAAGGAATTACACACTGTTTCTGACAAGGGACTTACTGTACCCCCTTGGATACAGTACATTTTACTGGAAATGACTTAAAAAGATTGCAGCTTCAAAACGAGTTTGTATTCCAAACAGGGGCAAGGAAGCTGAAGAGATCATTTGAAATCTTGCGTAAGTCTTATATTTAGTCCAGATGCACATAAGCAAATCATGAGATAGAAAAAAAGGGGACAAAACAAGTGAAAGGGAAAATACAAAAACTTTTTTTTGGCATTTGCAAAAAAAAGTATTTCCTGTTAAAAAAAAGACAAATAAGGAAATCAAACAGAAGTTAGAATGCAGCAGTCTAGTCTGAGTCATTCCAGGGGTTTGCATTGCTCTGGAATGGATTAGTCTAATGAGTTCCACAAACAGACCAGTACATACAAAATAAAGCTCTATTTCAACTTTGCTTTACTAGTGAAACAAATACTTGTGTTAAACTAGAAATTACCAAGGATGTTAGCTATAACATTCTGTACTGAAAAAAGAAAAGAAAATCCCTGCAGCTCAGGTACTAATACTGACAATTGATAAGAATTTGCTATGGATTAGTTTCCTTTGTCATGACAATTGTTCTGTTCTTGCATCTAGCAACTTAATATGTGTGAAAGCCAGAAAAGGCAATGTCAAAAATACTCAATGCCCACATGCAGTATAACAGGAATGCAGCCAAACTTAGTCTGGATAACAAAAATCTAATATTAAGTATTTCTCTGCTTTGGTTACAAATTAATTCCTCCAGTCTGTATAAATGGACAAAATGCCATGATGATAAATGTGCAAGAAATGTATTCTTATTCTAATTCTATAATATTCTGAAAGGGTAATTCTAGTAATTACTGTACGTTACATTTGGAAAAAAGTTAGAGAAATGAAAAGCTACGTACATGAAAGCTAGATTGCTGCTAAAACTGGAGATAATTGTACCATATTCTTCAAATGAGATTTTCTTTTCTTTGCTGATTTCTATTAGAGAGTTTAATAACAGTGATGGGATGTCTGTACTCAGGGAGGGGGAAGGTTCTGAAGAAGTATTATGGAACAGTAAATTGCAGATTACTATCTTAACCCATTTCTGCCTCCTCACTCATTATTCTAAAAACAATTTAAGAAGGAGTTCTTGGGACTTCAATATATGAATTTGAATTTATTGAGTACAAACTGTATCTTAAAAAGCACAATGGCAGTAAATGCAGTAGCTGTGGGTGCCAATTCACGGAACATAATTTAATATTTTTCCTAAACTGTGTATGTGGTTGCATCAATTAAGTCATAGGCACTCAATATTAACTAAAACAAAAACAACCTTTTGGCGAGTTATTGAAAATGCCAAAAATTATTCATAGATGAGAATGCATTTTCCTGAGCTATTCATAAAATGAATGTGGTCTTGCTGAGGTTGGTGCTGTTCTTGCAAACTGATGTTTTTTGTACAATTTGCAATGGGTCTTTCATTTTACACAATGGGTAGCGATTGCAAAGCTCTACATTTTTGGGTACAATGGTGTATAATTCTGTGTTTGGCACGGTGTGACTCAAAAAGACTTGGCCCACAAAAAACTGAATTCTGCGCACAAAGATTGACAAAATGAGAGCTCTGTCCAAAAACAAATGAGGTTTTTAAATCAGCATGTAATTCACTCATAAAAAAGACTCAACGTCAGAAGGACATTAGAGGCATCAGTACAAGGCTGCAGATGGAAAATTAATCACGTTTTTTTTAGCTACTGTAAGTGTGGCTGAGAGAGAAGTTGCATTGGCATGACCCCAGGACTGAAAGTGTCAGTCTTCCCCACTTAGCCCAGCAGGGAACGGGGTGATAAAAGGCTGTCAGTGCTCAGATATCTTCTTGATCCCTTCAGGCTATGATAATTTACCAGTTCTTTAGATGTGCATGGTAGACATGATGTTCTAATTGCTCATCTTTTTGTGCATCTCCCGTTATTTGAATAAGTGACAAAATAAAACCTGTTATTATGAAAATGATTGATTTTTTAAAATCTACTTCATAATAAAGTAAACTTGAATGGCTGTTTTTAACCAGAGAAAGAATTCTAGATATATGATGTACTACTTTTGGGTATTTGTTAGAAATCCCATCCTTTGACCCAGAGAAAGGTCTGGAATACTCTTTTGTGTAGGAAATCTTCAAAACAGTTCCAGTTATCAATATTATATGAAAAAAGCATTCAGACTTTCCTTGTTCATCTATGATACATGTTTATCTCATGAAGTGAGAGATAAAACGTGACAGAGAAAAACCTACATTTGTATGTCATGAGATTTTACAGTTCAATCAAGACAATCTAGAAATTGGACAACTTGGTCATATTTATACTATGTACTGTATGATAGCTCTGTGGATTGTTAAAATACTATATGTAGAATATAACTTTTCTTGTTTGCCAGGCTGGTATCTATGAAGATGATTTCTATGATGGGGCATGGTGTGCTGGAAGAAATGACCCTCTACAGTGGTTTGAGGTTGATGCTAGAAGGTTAACAAAATTCACTGGAGTCATCACACAAGGCAGGAACTCCTTGTGGTTGTGAGTACATTTAGAGTTATTTTAACATTCTATAATTGTACCAGCTCTTATATTAACATTCTTGGTTTTGGAAGATGGTGCCTAATCAAGAACAGACCTAGCCTGTGCTGGGACAGGAAACCTCTAAGGACATTATTTCTGTAAATAACATGGATTGCACTCTTCGCTTGGGATCAGAATTTCAAAATCAGTGTCCCAGTATAGTGACAGGTGACACTGTGCTGTCTGAGGTACCATTCTTCAAATCTTATGTTAAACTTCCTTCTAGAAAGAGTGTTAAAATAGTGACCTGGTTAAGTTCCAGTCTAGGCTTGCACCATCTGGCCTACCTAAATTTGCTTAATCGAATGTGTGAAGTAGTTTTGCACTTCTGCACCTGAACTGCTGTATACTGGGGCTGTTGGTTTATAATGGCTGCCATGCTTCAACCTACTGTAGTGGGTGATGACTGCACTGCAGTGACAGATGAAGTGGAGGAAAAGCACTAGACAAATTTAAACAATTATTATAAAATGCTGAGCAGAGACTTGCAAACTTAAAAAGTTTAGAAATGTTTCTGTGACTCTTTCATCACATACCACATTCCAGCTTGAGATCTTGCAATCATGTTTTGGTCAAACAAACAAGTTTTAAATTTATACAGATGTGTATACAAATGTGGCCACCCTGAACCGTAGTTTCAAGGCAGGTGGGAGTGTGTTTTTGTATGTTATGTTTAGTTTCATACCCTAACTAAACAATAATGCCTTTATTTAAATTGAAAGAATACAAAGATGCTGGATATCTGATTGCAGTGCCTTGTGAATTAAAGTCAAGAGCTAATTTGATCATTTACCTTTTCCGTACCACACTTAGTTGCAGAAACAAGCCATCTTTTCGAGGCTGAAATAATAACATACTGTATAAAAGATCACAAATGAGTGGAAGCCATTCAGCCTATTTAGCTTGTTTGTTTGAGAGGCAGATTATCTGAAAGCCAAGCTGAAGATACCTTCAAACCCTGTCAGGGAGTGGCATAAGACTCTTTGGTAATAGTCAAACTCTAATAAACTAATAATTATTGCATTAACAGTTATTAAAAGAGTGCATCCCCACTGGGCTTTCAGCTGCTTGCTGGAAGCCTAGGGGGAAGTCTACACAGCTGGAGTTCATTAGTCAAGATCCTTTAAAAGCAGGGCGTACCAGAAGGTACTTAGTCTTTTCCAAAATATTTAGGTTAAACAATACAACAAGCAACAAAAATAAGGTTGTACTACAAAAATAAGACTAGGAGATATTTAAAATACTGTAAGATACAGTAGCAGCACATGGATTTTCAATGTCTTGGACCACTGTTTGCTCACAGAAAAGATTTGCTTAAGCATACCCTCCTGGGAGGGAATTTAAGAATGGAGGTGTCAGGGCGATCTGAACTGTTGGATGGTGAGGCTTTGAATACCTTTATGTTCCTAAACTAAGGCATTATGTTCTAAAGGGTGAACTTGGTGAGTTTGCTTAGAGACACACCAGACTAGTTTCCCAAACTTTTAAAGGGGTATTATACAGTATATAAGATACTCTTCAAAGGATCAGCAGGTTCACAGAATTAGGGAAGGAACTGCCAAAAGACAGAAAAGGTAGTAGGTAGTAGGTACCGTGTGCCATACCGAACAATCGCTATCGTGGAGTACAGGAGACTAGGCATGAGTCTGTAAGAGAGTGTATCTGTGTTTGTGTTATGTATGTGTAGTTTGTGTGCATGTGTTGTTTATTTATAGTGTACAGTTTGTGTTTTGGTGTATGTACGTATTTGTACAGTATGTCTTGTGTATCTGTTTTGTATGTGTATATGCTGTGTATTTGTATTGATTATGAGTATTTTGTATATGTTGTGTTTGTGTTGTGTATGTGTATAGTGTATTCTTCCTTATACTTCCGTGTGTGATTGTTGGTCATCCTTTAAATGAACAGTACCACTCAAAAGTTTTAGTACACCTCCTTAAAACCAGGTTTTTTGTGATTATATGTTTTAAACTGTATAAACTTGCCTATAAACACTTAATATTTAATTACATGATATATGCACTTATAATCTTAAGTGAACTGCATTGAAACTTTTAATTTTTCCTTTTTTAATAAAATGAACACCCAAAGCAAGTGGATTTCAGTCAGAAGCCAAGGTTAGTTAAAAGTCAGAAATGTGTATAACATGGTGTTAGAACACTAAAAGAAGTTTAAAATTGTATTTGTTAGATGTTCTCACAGTTAACTAGCATGTTACCTCATTAACCTTTTGTAACCAATTATTAGTAAACAGGTGAGGGTCCATGATTACTATAAATATAGGGAGCATGGGCAAAAAGTTCTAATTCCTGAATGAACATTGCAAAATTTGCTCAGTAAGCAAGTAAAAAAGGACAGTCTATAATTACTTTTAGAAATGAAGGTCAATCTTTAAGACAAATTGCAAGAATTTTCCAAGTGTCATTAACTGCTGTGGCCAAGACTACCAAACGATATGAAGACTCTATCACTCATAAGGACTGAAAAAGTTCAGGCATTTACCTCAGAATCAGAGAATACATTAATTCTAGTCACAAGTCTGCAAAACCGGCGACTGCCTGCCCCTAAAATACAAGCTGAGCTCAATGCTACCAGAAGTAGAGATGTTTCAAACATCAACTGTTCAGAGGAGGTTGTATGAAGCTGGCCTACCAGGAAGATTTGCTGCAAAGAAACCATTGTTAAGAGTGCAGAATAAGAGGAAGAGACTTGCCAAGGCAAAAAAAAGCACAGAGACTGGACCTTTGAGGCCAGCTTCAAAACTGTAGTCTAGATTTCAATACTAAATTCAATACTGTAGTCTAGATGGTCAGAATACCATTGTTAGCCATGTGATGTAAGTGTGAACTGAAACATAGTGTTGGTCAAGGTAACCCTTAAACAGAAGACCACTTCATGGCCATTGTAGAACTACATTTAGCAGTAAAAGAGATGTTGCAGTTCATTGGTTTGTGTGTGTCAAAAAGAGAGATTGCTAAGATGCGTTTCCCTCAAGGTAAGACCCAAATATGTCTGCATCAAGTCAGGGCACCCCTCATTCTGAGATTATTGTGTTAGAGATGTGCTGAGGGATACACTTGCAGTATTATTATTGCTTATCCTTTGTGGCCAACATGGGGTCTGTGTGTGTTGTCCTGAGAGATATCTTGTTGTGTATTACGCAACTGGGACATGGAGAGTTCTTCCATTTAAAGCCATTGGGTGTATTGTGCTCATTTAACAGCCCTTGAGGGGCTTCTGTGTTGAGTAGAATATGAAATGTGTACCTTGTAGGCAAGAATGAAATTCATTGGCTATGACAGGCCACCAGTAGTACAGGTCATTTAAGCCTCTATTGTGTGTACTGTATATACTTGGGGTATTGATTAATTACTTAATTAGTGAAGGACTGAACGCCACATTCTTGCATGTGTCTAATCTACTGTATACTAGCTGGTATACAGTTTAAAGGGATTCATGGTAATAGCTTGTGTTGAGTCATTTAGAGTAGGTCTGTATTATGGAAACAGCTTTGTCAGAATAAAGTCTCCTTGCACAGCATTTTGCTGTCCATTCTGTTTCCATGTGCTCAGGGCCCTCAGTCCTCAGGCCTGTCACAGTGACACATACTTTACTGTAGCAACAATCCTGATTTAGTTGTTTTCATGAAGGTATCCTTGTGATTTAGGCAATACTAGCAGTGAGACTCCATACGAGTGCTAAGGAATACACTCTGAGGCCACCCAGAAAATGAGCCTGAGAACGCCTGGCCTTGAAGCCCTTATTTAAAGTATATCATAGAATGAAGGATGGGCAGAAGCTTGGGTTTGTCCTCCTCCTCAACTTTTGTAATGAACTACAATTAATTTTACATTAAAAGAAATATTTACCACTACCTGTTTATCATACCCAGCCTGATGAAAGCCACTTCAGTGATAATTTATACATGGCGAAGGTTAATTTATTTGGATGCCGGAAAGCAAAACATTTAACTCCATGAGAGTTTCTTTGGCTCTTTGATATTAAAAGGTCATCATAAAAAGTCAGTAAAAAATGTCATCCTTCATTCTTTCTGCCTAGTTAAATTTAGCTGAAGGTTTGCGTATTTTGTTTTGCAGATATAATGGGCAGCACTTAGTCTTTTTGTAATAGCTTGAGAGGAACATTACCAGAGGGAAGGGATGTTGAATTCTTCCCATGCAGTTTTTAACATTATTATGCCTAAATTAAGAGGATAAGGCTAAGTGTTAGTCATCCATTAATCCATCAAAATGCCTTTAAAAGCTTTTGCAAAACTTGAAGATAAAAATATCCACCACCTTAACTAGTTGGTGTAGTGAGTTGTGTTGACTATGCATCCATTTTTCAAGACATACAGTACTACAGTATATGTTCAGTATGAAAAAAAGAAAACCTTTAGGTCATAAGGTTTTAACTGACAATTTGTAGGTTTTTGCAGTAAAATCTTTTTATATGGTTTTTGAAGTTTTTTACATTGGAAGTAACAGAATATATGTACTGTATATGTTTGAAAATGTGTAGTTTTTTAAAACACTAAAACACATATTTTAAAACAGTGTGCGACATTGAAAATGAAAAAAATGTCAAATGAAACACCACATCAAAACAATAAGTAACATTACGCTGTGATGTAATCTTTTGTCACAGCACAACTTAATCAAGAAAAAACAAAAGCCTGAGTTATGTTTAATAATGCCTTGTTTATCTTCATACTGTACCTCAAAACCCCTGAGATCAGTACTAAATACAAACCCTCTCAAAACCTTCATTAGATATTGCTTCATTATTTGACTTACAATAACTGCTTTTCAGACTATTCACAGTGCCAATAAACCCAGGAAATCCAGAGAGTGGATTATTGATTCCCATTTCATTTTTAGAAGCATTTTCATTCTTTTTAGAGCTTTGTAATATTATTATTCCATCTATATTTAAGAGTTATTTCCCCAGGTCATGTATAACACCTAAAGAATGCTTTATCAGCTCAAGCCATACTGTGGTGCAGTAATTTGCATTGCATACCAGTGTCCCTTACTAGCGGTAGAAATCAAGGTTTGAAGCATTCAATAAGGAATTCATCTCACCATTCCAGAGAGAAGCAAGGGTAATTAGTCACAGTCTTTTGCCTTGAATTATTTACAAGGCTTTTTGCTGGGTTTGCTACTGTGTGACATTTTCATGCAGTTTCAAGACCATGTGTAAGTCATCTCAGTGCCTACTACGAAAAGATTAATTCAAAGTCTTGCAAAATATTATAAATACCAAAAATATTTAATATTTTATAACAGTTTAAAACCTCTTTTTGACACATGGTATGATGAACTGTAGTAGTGTTTGCAACACATAGAATTGCATTGTTCAGTTGTGACACTTTTTCTTGAGACTATCAGTAAAAAGAGACTACAGTAGAATAGAAATAGTTTTTTTCACATACAGTAGCATATGTTTGATAACGTGTAATGAATACAGTATTTGGTTTAGAGAAAAAGCCTGGCCTATTGAAATGTTATTGTCTGTCAGCTAATTGAATTTTTAAAGTTGAGTGGGTTTTAAATCAACAACTAAATAATGGTACAAGAGACAAATGCAAAGTGGCAGCATCATAGGAAAACAATTCTGTATTTGATATAATCAAGGTATTTAATGAAAAGGAGCAATAATCACAAACCATCTGAAAAGCCTTTAAATTAAGTTTTAAACATCATAGAAATACAATATATTCATTGTATTTTGCAAACTAATCTGGTCAGTTTCTGCTGTCACATCTTACAAACACTCTTTTTAAAACACATCATAAACAGTTGCTCTCTTAGTATGGTTTGAGCTCCCTGAGCTGAAATGGATTCAGTGATGTGTTTATTAACAAGTCAGTTAAATCAGTTGGGCAACATTCAGAGTGGTGCCAATGACAACAGTCTGCTGGAGCTGTTCCTTAATTAAAAATTGCTCTATGAAAATCAGCTCTGAAAATACTGACTCACTTAATGCAAAAACAAATGAGCAAACATCAAAAACTCTGAATACACAGGCTTAAAATGACATATACTGTATGTACTGTAGGAAGAGATAACAATAAGTTTTGTTTGCCCTGAAGTTTTCAAAACATTCCAGACTTTATTTAGGTTAATCATTTTAATGTATTTCATTAAAGCACTGATTTTAAGGAATATACAGTACAAAATGTACTTTATACATAATACATTATGTACAGTATATTATTATACAATTATACATAAACTATATCAGTTATAAATATTTGCAACATACAATGTATTGACACATTTTCTGTATGTTGCATGTATTGCAATATGACTAAGAAATAATATATAGTACTGTATAGTTTTTATTGTTTGCTGCACACTATAAATTTAAATATTGTACAACACATTTTAGAATGTTAACTTTCCGAGTCCCTTTATATGTGAAGTGTATTTGATGATATGCTGTGGAATCGTACCTTTTGTGCCATGTGAAAGTGTTTTTTACTTCTCTGTTTGCCTGAATAAATTGCACCACTTTTATAAAATGTAGTAACTGTAAAGTAAATAATGATGGCTCATACCTACTGTACATCTAAAGAAATTAAACCAAGTACTTCATAAACTTGTCTTTTAGACAAATACAATACTGTAAATCAACATTTTAACTTGATGATTTTTGCAGTTCTTTGTACAGTGGGTATGTGAGGTTGGCATTCTGAGACAATAAGAGTCTCCCCCCACACAATGAATCAGACTGCTTGTTGAGTGTAAACAGAACATGCAGGATTGCAGGTGGGCACTATTATGACACAGCAGCCCATATTTGTCCCATCAGGAGCCTCCCTAGACTCACACCACAGCTGTGATCTGTTGAGCTTGACTTAAACATGTGAGCAAGGCAATTAGCAGAGGGATTCTTTGCTGCTACAGACAGATGCAGCCTTAATAGAAAACCCACAAGACAAAGCAAATAGAACCATACAAGAAATAATTAAATTAAATGTAAGCCCCCAGAAAGATACTAGAATGGCATGATGTGACTAGGAAATAATCCTTAAATTATTCATTATAGCAATTTGCAAAGCCTTGATGAAAACCACCTATGCAGTATAGAAATCCTTAAAGATAAATGCTGTAATGATAGCAATTTGAGCAGTGTTTTAAAAACATTCTTGCAGGGCCATCCATAGGTGTGAGGCAATACTGCAGACAAATTTGTACACACTAAGTAAGCCTAAGACAAAACGTAACTTTAACTAATTTAACTGAAGTTGACATAAAATCTTAGTACAGAGGTGTTAACAGATTGACACAGATTCAACAGAATTTTTCCCCATTTCAAAAGCAAACAAACTTTTCAGGATTCCATGTTATTGAAAATGTTGGGCATTTTCCCTCAATATTCTATAAAGCCAATGTGCACTTCTGATCCTTGTTAATCCTCAGTCCACCCCCAGACTGTCTGTGGATTGTCACCTCCTGTCCTCCGAGGATCAGCCTCCCACACTGACATTTCATTTCCATTCTAGTTACCCGGAAACTTCAAACAGGCACACAAGTCCTGACTAAACCTCAACTAAAAAACAAACTTTCGCAATATTGTCCTTAAATTGCATTTCCACGGTTTCATAATCTTAACTTTTGATTCAGATCAAAGGTTTATCTATTTGTTTCTCTATGTAAATAGAAAATAAGAAATTAAATACTCTTTGTTTTGATTTAGATATACTTTAACCAAAGACTGGCAATTGAGGGAGTTCTATCTTCTGCTATTTGGCTTTATGTGATCTGTTGCACTATTTGTATGACACACAGGGATCCCTGGTAGTTCTGTCTCTGTCTCTTGTTCTTTCTCTCTGGACATCTGTCACAACTGAGGATTATTTTTTTTTGTGTGTGCAATATTGCAAGACTGCACATCTGCAGGTCTGAAGATGACTAAAGAGGAAAATCCAGGATAAATAGATTTTGGTCAAGTTTATTATTGTGTTCTCAAATAAAATTGGGGGTCCTGGGTGGATGATCAAGTCCATGGCACACTGTTTTTGCAGTTCCTGCTTTTCCGTGTCTTGTTGTTCCATGGTTTTGAGGAGTTGAGATTCTTGTTGCAGGTGCTTCATTAAATTCTGGGTAATAATCTCCATGAGTTGTTCTAAATGTTGATATTCTTCATGCTGGCTTTAGGACATCATTGAAGTGCTTCCCTTGACCTCCTCTTGAGCACATGCAGTTATTAAGACTTGCTTATTATTCTTATGTTATTCTTGTTCTATGATAGACCCAAAGCAAGAGATCATTACTACTATAACTACTACTACTGCAACTACTTCTACTTCTCCTGCTAATAGTAATTATTATAATAATGAAGTAAAGTAGTCTTCTGGGATGATGGCCATTCTGTATCATTGTCACATTCTTAAGTTCTAAATATTACTGATACTACTTAGGCAATTGTGATTTGTGTACAAGGCACACTGTAATGAGAAAGTTGTCTCTATATTTTATACTGCCATGAGATTGGACACCAAGAGTTTGAGCAGTTCTGCATCAAGAACAGAAAAAATCTATTCTAAGAATGAGTAAATCAAAAGCTGAAAACAGTCTCCTAAATGGTTCAACAAATACATTAAGAAAAATATGAAGGAATAAAGCAATTTATAAAATGATTAAAAACAAAAGGATCCACTTTAAGAAAAAGTAAAAATATCTTAGAAAGGTCAAGGGTGGGATAGAAAGGAATATTGGAAAGGAATAATAAGATAAAGGCAAAAATAAAAGTAATAAAATTTTTTCCAAATGTATATCAAATATGCTAAATTCTGGAAAATTGGAAATCAAGTCTGCTGATGATAAATTAACAGGAATAGTTATTATATCAGATGCAGTTGGGTTTTGTAAGTATGACAAAACCTAACCAAATATGTTCTTTCAAGAAATGGCTGGATGAGATACTTGGATCAATCCTAAAAACTACTGTAAACAGGCTATACAAACCAAATGACCTCTTCTCATTTGTAACTGATCTTCTTAGAAGTGTCTCATGTTATTAAACATCGATCTCATTTTCTTATATTTCTTGCAAAAGGTGAGCTAATTATATTGTTATAGTTTCTTTGTACAGTAAGTTACCTGTACAAGCTTTTCAGAGTTGTATTGAGTCTGGAGGAAGTAAGGCCATCTAATTCAGTTGCATGAAACAGAAAGGAAATTTAATGTGCAGTCCTCCAATATAGTAGTGTACTGTAATTATTTTTGTATTTTAACAAACATGGTTCACACCTGAAGAAGACTCATAATTGGAAACTTTTTTTCTTTGCATTTACTTTTCAGTGTGGAATTAGCTTCTGTGTGCTCCTGAATTGTTATTATAAAATGGATTCAACACTATAGTTTGAACAGACCAGATACCTTCAGAAACTTGTAGCCTCATGGCAGCTAATGTGTATCCACACAAAGCTTAATTTGTACTGCAGTTACACTCTAATGATTGCTGGTTAAATAACATGCTCTTTTCTAAATCTGTCATTGCAGAAGCGATTGGGTGACATCATATAAAGTAATGGTGAGCAATGACAGCCACTCGTGGGTAACAATTAAAAATGGAACACAGGACATGGTGAGTAGGAAAGGCTAACAGATTTCTTGTCTGTGAATGTTCATCTTCTCTTTAACATTGTTCTAATTCACATACAGAATCTGCAAGAGTCTGAAAGGCTATCTGTGCTCTAAAACCTGCACTTCAGTGATGCCTCAGATTCATGTACAGTAGGGAGAGTTTCCCACACATAATTAATCCACAGAGGAAACCCAGCTACAGGCACGTGTTTTAAAAGGCAAGAAGACACTTGCTGTCATTGTCTTTGCCTTTTGGTGTTCAGTAATAATCCTGACATTTTCTTCAAAGGCTCATTTCTCTTCACAGCTAATGCTCTTCAGCAAAAGCAGATTTGTGGAACATTTACCAACAAAGGAAAGGAGGCAAGCATTGAGGTCTGCTCAACAACAATGTAATAAAGAAGATAAAAATAATTTATAAGGCTTATGAATAAAAATGACATCAGCATGATTATGATAAAAACAATTGCATCGGGTGGAGCAGACATAAAGGATATATAGGTCACATTGGAATATATCTCTTCATGAAGATTAATCATAGATCAGACAAAATAAAAAACCCTATTTAACCTTCAGTGATCATTATTATGTGTCACAGAAAGCAGTGAAAGGTTTGGCACAGTTTCAAAGGCAGGCCTATACTGTACCATACCCATGTAGCCAAGAAGTAAGTTTCTAATACTCTGTCTTGAACTGGTCCGTAGCTATCAGTTAATCAATACAAGTCCCTTGGAAAAGTTATTGTGTGTATATTATTTTAATTTTTGTTTCTTCATGTGTTTCACAACACACATATTCACATAGATGATAAGATCTGATTGCATTTGTTTCAAAGGTATTGTTCTCCACTGTGTGTGCGTGAATAGAAGCAGGAAAGTATAAACAACTTTCAAATCTTCCGTCCAAACTGTAATTTTTGTTTCTTTTAGGACTGAAATTGCTTCAATGCATTATTTTGGAGTAGGCTCTACCTTTCTGTCTCCATGTTATGTAGTGCTGAATCCTAATACTTTGCTCTGTCTGCTGCTTGCCCCATGTGTTTTGTGCTATATCCATGGTTTGGTTCCACCCTTTGTAGTCTGAGTACTTAATCGTTTCCGGTGCTGACTCGCTTGGCTCAATGCTCTATTCGTCTCACTGAACCAAATGAACAAACCATCAGTGGACTCATGACCAAATTCATTTGTTTTACTGGTTGACTGAAATCAAAATGAAGTAGTTGTTTGCAAGCTGCACACTTCTTTTTACCCATATGAGCTGTGTATTAAATGAAGCTGCTACTTCCTAAACTGTTGCGCAGCCGAGGACGTTTTGTGATTGGAATCTTCAAGGTCACTACACGACCAAGCAAGGGGCCACAGGTCACAGTGAACTTTCAGTGCACAATATAAGCTTCCTTAGCTACCTTGTGCTCTTTTTGCTGGGCTTTGTTCCCACATTTGTTTCGCTTCAGTTGGGTAGTATTTGTGTGGTACAGTATGTGTGCAACTGTGTACTGTACACAGTTGTTGTTGAAAAAGTGGCCATAAAATTGAATTATTTTAATTAAACATATATATAAAATCTTAATTGATTTTTTAGTGAAGGGATTTAAATAATTATCAACGTTATCACTAATTAAAAGTGAGAATTTACAGTACATTACCCCATAGCCTGGTAACTGCCTTGTTAGTTTCAGAGAAGATTATCAGATTAAAATCTTGTTAGGTGCCAATTTAAAGCAAGGTTCATTACCAGTGATCATTAGCAAGCCAACTGATCTGCAGGATAATAGTCTAACTATTAATTATTTTCACACAGGAGACAACAACATTAAAACGGGGCTTATTTCATATCCAAGGGAACCAGTGGATTCATTAATAGACTGTAGGCATACAGCCTCTGGGTATGATTGACAACATAGCAGCAACAAGGCCTGAGTGGAAATTAGGACATGGGGTTCGTGATGATTAATTTTCTTGTGTGCTGCTCAACTGTTTGTATAAACAGAAGATTAATGCTTTTTTACAAACCCTTCAATGCCTGACATTTAGATTTTTAGCTCTCTGCTTGTTACCATGTCTCAGCTGAGCTAAAAAGTTGTGTACCATTTACATTAAGTTTCCAAAATTTTATTTAATATTTTAAAAATAGCCTGACCAAATACAAAACAAAAACATTTCCAAACTGATGTGCGTTTCATGATATTTATTTAAAATTCCTTTGATTACTTAGTATTATTTTTATTTGCTGAATGATGAAATGATGAAAAGCTGAGAACTATAATTTTAACCCCATCAGGGTTGGGCTGTATGCCATGTCACCCTGCAACTTACAATTGGCAACCCACTGAAGCTAAGCAGGTGTGAGCCTGGTCAGTACCTGGATGGGAGACCTCCTGGGAAAAACTAAGGTTGCTGCTGGAAGAGGTGTTAGTGAGGCCAGCAGGGGGCACTCACCCTGCAGTCCATGTGGGTCCTAATGCCCCAGTATAGTGACGGGGACCTAATAATCCCCCTCTATGAATTTGCTACATTACTTTGTTCTCCTCCACCCCCTCCGACGGCAGGCGGAGCAACGCGCCGGTTGGAGTATTTCTCGGTTGCATTTAATGGCAACGTCAGCTCAAAGATTTGGTTCAAACCACCAAATGGAGACGGGCGTGCCGACAAGCGGACCCTGCTGATGCGGGATTGACGCTAGGATGAGAGATCAGGGTTGGGCTGATATTCTTCACAGCTTCTTTTTAGCTGTATCCCTGAACAAATTGCTTAGTATATTTGGTCAAGTCAGGCATCTTTCAAATCCAAAACCTCATGTCTCCCTCTGCCTCTACCCTTTGTGTTCCCTATATCAAAATCAAAAACTTCCCAACAACATCCACAAACTTCTTCTGGGACAACTCTCATTAAGCCCCTAGTGAAGTGTTCTGTAAAGAATCATCAGCCAGATTGACACCTCAATTTGCAATAAAACAATAAAACCCAGTCCCAGAGGCAACAATATGCCATTTGTACAATAGTTGTGCCCTGCCTACTTTTACCAGCTCAGGAATGAAATCATCCCATCATATTTAGTACAAGAAAAACAGCAGATGCACACTCTGCCTTACCAAAAGAAAATGTTTTACTTTAAATTTGTATTTTTCAGTGACGTGTGGCACATTAAGCACACAGCATTTGTTTAAATACAAAACACATATAGTATAGCTGAAATCAATGCTAAAATAACTGAGTAGTTGAAAGTATCAAACCTTCAATTGATTAGACCCTGAACATTCTGTATTACTGTATTTCCACTCCTAGCAATCTTCAAGGTATGCAAAAACAAATGGCCCTTTTCCTGTGCACTTCTGTTTGTAATTAGCACTTTCTATTTCACAATGCAGAGTGAGAAAGGAATTGTCTAAAAATGTTTCTTATTTTGCCTTTCCCACATAGAAAGTCAAAGTTAGCTTTCACAAACAACTGCTTTGCTCTTTTTAGGGCACAGTGTACAGTATGTTAAGAGCTTGCTGTCTCTCTAAATTATGACTAAACCTGCACATTGAAAGATCCGTATAAACATGTTCCCCTGGAAAAAGTTGGCTATGTCACAGTGATGAGCCTAATAAGGGTAAAGTAGTTGTCCAAGCTGCTAACAGTGACATTATACAGTATACAGTATGCATAAAATGGAATTAGAGGTTTCTGTAGATGGTTCCATTTCACTTGCCTTTTTGAATTGGCAGGAATGTTTTAATATTACCCCACTACTCATAATGACTGCATGCTCTAAACATGCACCTGGAATAAATCTAAAGGTTACTTTATGTAAGATGGATAGACTAGTTAAGATAGATACTCATACCAGGTAGTGCGTCTCCTGCTACCCAGCTTTCATAACTATGGTGAAAGAAACAGAAGTATGTATCACTGGAGAGAATGCGCATGAAAACAATGCAGTGGTGTGGTCCAGGGGAGGAAAAGTCAGAACATCTCAGCAACCATCGCAACAGGCACAGGGTCAGAGAAGAAGGAATTAGAGGAGAGTGGTACAGAGGAGGTCAGCAGGAGTTTGTGCTAATTCATATCCTCTCCATAGAGTTTTCAGTGGTCGTCTGCCAGCATGGTGGATATTACTGTAGCTGTCTCGTAGGATAGAATGTTGTAGAAGGTGCTTGATTAATGAGGAAACTGGTCTGTCTTTATATGTCAATGACACTGCAGGTTTTGGAGACAATGTTTACTATTTTATTTAAAAAATGGAGAAATCAGAAATGATCAGAGTTTTTTTAAGAATCTGTTTGGCATGCAAATTTCAGCTGTGGTTTGAATAAAAAAAGTGTTTTTGACCAAACCCAGATCAGCCAATTCCAACAGGCTACACATACTGTATAGTGATATCACAGAGAATATCATAGCAGTGCCTGCATACATATCCCTTGCTCCTGATACATATTAGGAACTAAGTATTTATTCCCTCTGTGGCTCTAGATCTTCGTGGGGAACCATGAGAAGGAAATTCCAGTGCTTAATGAATTTCCAGTTGCTGTGATCGCCCGCTACATTCGTGTGAATCCACGCTCTTGGTATGAAAATGGCAGCATCTGCATGAGAGTGGAGATTTTAGGCTGCCCAATGCCAGGTAATTTTGCTTTGTGCAAACAGGAAACCCAAATGAAATCTGTTATTGTGTGTAGTGTTGTTTCACTGTATGAGAAAGAAAGATACAGTAAATACTCTCAATGAATGGGTGAATAATTGATTATGTTGTTTTATAGTTTCAATAAGTATAGTAATATAGTTACAATAAGTCCTTAACAAATCTTTTGTCCGTGTTGATAAACACTCTGATAAAAGTGATGTATTTATACTGATTACATGTGTATGCAGGGGTATATTTGAAGGAAACAGTAAGAGCACTGTTGTTGTAATTTTAACTGCTTGTTTTATAGTGCCTGCTCTGAGATAAGAGTAGGTAGTTTTAGTCTATGCTTTCTTGCTTGTGGGGAACCTCTGCAGAGCACCGAATGACCACTGTCTGTTCACTTCCATACCACAAACTCTATCCACTATCTCCCCCTTCACTCCACTGTTATCCTCTGCATGTATCACAAACACAAATCATAGCATAAATAGAAAACATATGAATTAAAAAATTAAATGTTACCTCCTGTTTCCAATTTTATAAAATTCCAAAATGCAAAATATCTTACCTTACACAGAAAACAATGATAATCTATATTTGTACAGTTTAAATGTTTAAAGTCTTTGATGTATCCTTTGAAATCCCTTTTGTACAGGGTGAGCTTTTCTTGTATGTCATCAAAACTCCTTTGATGCAATTCAGGTGAGCAGGTGAACACATGTGTCTTTAAAAGATAATCACAGTGTTTTTTGTTCTTCTCTGTGACTGGTTTTCATCAGTTGGGTCAGTTAATTAGGGAGGACATTAAACTGTTTCCAAACAGACTAAGAGTCACACTAAATGCATTGTAACTTCATCCATGTCTATTTAAAAGCATTAGAAATATAAAGAGGATTCTGTAAATTACATACTGTAGATAACCAAATTTAGGAACAGAAAACAAGTCAACAGTACTGTACCAGCTGGGAGTGTGGTATGGAGGGTAACATCTACAGTACAGTACTGTATATGTCTCCTGACAATTAATTCAGGTCTTTAAAAAGCAATTAGGGTTGTGTTAAAACACAAGTAGCTTAAGTTTCCATCAATATTCTTCACAGGAATAAGCCAAATCTAAAATGTGTTTTTTATTTGAACTGCCTTCCCTGCTGTATTACCGTATATCAGAGCAAGCAGAGCTGGGAGTAGGACAGCTGGCTCGTTAAAAGTATATTTTATCATCACAATAGAAAAATCATAGGATGAAACCACACATTTCAGAAGAGAAAGGCTGCCAACAGTCATGAATCGAAAAGGAAATGTAAAGATTATTTTTTAATGTAGTTTATGACTCTGACACTGACTCACCCAGAGACATCACAGAAGATTAAAATTTCTGCATATTTTGTTCTACAATAAGTGACAAATCAATTTTTTATTTAATGCAGTATGTCTATAAATACTGTATGTAGGCCTTAAAATGTTGCCTTGAAATGTTTGACCTTTTCATTATGATTTACTCCTCATCACTTGTTGAGTGGTGAATCGGTTGGTAGTGTTTGGCTTTCAATTTATATAAACACAAAATTCTACCATTTGGCAGTGCTAAAAGACCAAACCAATTTTAGAACAATTAATTGCATAATAAAAAGACACGGTTGTGATTTTTTCTAGTTTCAAAGACCACTTGAAACAGTGGTCTTGGATACATGACAAATGTACAGTTTGTGGTACATAATTGCATAGATTTTGGAATAGAGCATGTACAGTATTACATTTATAGTATGGTCTCACTAAACGCACATTAACAAAATGTTTTTTTAACATGAAGATTTTTTGTCCTTCATGAGAAAACAATTTTCAGTAGAGTAGAGAAATAAAACAGTGGGAGTATTGTATTTTTTTCCAGGCAGACTTTTTCTGGTCACACGATACATATTCCACATTGTATTTTTAAATCATTATTAGCTGAGTGATAGAGCACAAATTCACTCCCAGTAATGTTTCTGTACTGTATGTTTCTGGGGTGTTTTTTCCTTTTTCCAAAACAAATGTTTTAAAGAAAATGTTGGAACTACTGGCTTGACTATTGTTATTCCATTTGCTATGATTTTTTTGCATTATTTAGGTATTATTTATTTTTCCACAAAGAAGGATACAAATTTCACTAAAAAAATAAACAGCTGTAATATATATAAAATGATGAAAAAGCAGCATTAACAGTAACAAAAATGTTATACACATAAAAAATAACCCAGCTACCTACAAACAATTTCTAAGATGCATTATAGTTCTTTGTATTTTTCAGGAAGATGAAATGGCTCACATTATTGTTTACATTTTCCTTTTAGACATTACTCAAATATCATATTTCTAGGTCTGTTCTCTTAAACAAATGTTTTCTTTTTCCTTTTTCCGAATGTGGTATTATTGCAACTGTCATAGATTCTTGAGAAACAAAGAATCATACAGTATGTTACATATGCCTTCCTTACTTTGCTCCTACTCCCTTCATACTGAAGTTATAAAGTTTTACTGAAGATTTCCAGTCATTCCAGGTAGATTATGCAACATTTAAAGAACTGCAGGAGGTTATAAAGCTGATCATTGCTTTTTCGATAAGAGTTAAAATTCCCAATAACACTCTCAGAGGAAGAGTTTAGGATAATCAGTTAGCGTAAATAGCATGTCTTTGGAAGGTCACAGGAAACCAGATCAAATGCCTAAACTGCATTTGATCAAGGGAGAAAATGCAAACTCCCTTCATGCAAACACATAGAAGTCTGTAATTGAATCCAGGTTTCAACTGTCAGGCAGCACGGCTAACCATTAGGGCAATCATTTTGTGAGATATTTTAAAATAAGAACTAATTTACAACCTGTACAATAATTTACAATGGGAAGGTTATCATGCTTGACTTGTGAAGATAAGTGCAATTGTGGTCTTAGGAAGAGTGTCCTATATTGCCCATACTGACAGAGTTACATCATCTTCTCAGTGCAGCGGGAAGGGCACAATTACTCCCTGAAAGAAAATTGCTTTTCTTTCCACACTTCTCAAGTTCTATCTTAAATGTCACATTTAAAATTTAAATACAAAACCCAAGTTCTATATTCAGAGAAGAATGATGAACTTGAGTTTCATTTTAGCCATTGGTGCAAAACGTGTTTTTGAGTGGTTTTGCCAGCTTTAATAAAAGAAGGAGATAAAATGACAAAAACCACTCTTGAAGGAAATGACAAGTACATTTTGTGCTTACAGCAATTTTTGCGTGAGAAAACCTGCCAGCGTTTGTGCACTCCACATGTTTGTTCTCCTTACCAAAAAGAGAAATGGCTGAACTACAGGTGGCTTTGCTATTTTCCCTGTTTCTGTTGAAAACTCAGTTAAACTGATAGCAGGCCCTCCAGTGCAACCCAGGATTCTAAACAAGCTACAGACAGCCTGAAACAATCTGTCCAGTTCCAAAATTTAAAAAAATCAGTTTAGACACCTCTTTCAAGTTTGTTCTGCAAGTATTTTGTGCTGTGAAAAATAAATTGAGCAATTCAAAACAAAAGATCTAAAACAACCGAGTCTCATTAAAAAAATGTGTTTGCTTCGTTCTTATAAACAGTGATTCACTGTGGAAAATCTCTTTTAATTCTCTTTTTCCAGACCCCAACAATTATTACCACAGACGGAATGAGATCACAACAACAGACAATCTGGACTTCAAACACCACAGCTACAAAGAGATGAGGCAGGTACGTTCACAGACTCCTGGGCCACACCTGGATTTACACAGGGTCAGGAACTGGGATTATCTACAGGTCATAATACACATGTCCTAATTAAAGTCAATACTCAAACTAAATATAAAATTATAGATGTCTGACTAAATGCGAGGTTGGTGTGCAACTGGGATGCCAGCAACAGACAGTGGAGGGGTTTTAAGTCTTTATTTCATTATTATTTTTAGATTGTGTTTTAGATATATGAATTTGTTGCTGTGTAAATTCTAAGAGTACAGATTTTATGATAGATTCAAAGGAGAGTAGAATTGATCTTAAGATAATACCAGTATCATACATTTTTAGTATAATAGAAGTATATTCTCTATATAATAAGATGTACAGTATGTGGTACTTTAGCAATTAAGTTGTTTCAGACAGACAACACTATTCCCTGAATTAGAGATCAAAGAGGTTTGAAAATGTATGGATGGATGTATGAATCATACAAATCTATTAGACAACTACTAAAATTTTGTTTGATAATCTCTAAGAATGGCATTGATGTGGTGGCTTGGAAATTAGTGCTTCTGTGTTTTGGCTCTTACTGTAAGTCACGGGTTGGAATTTGGTCTGGAGTGGCTTTTTGTGTTTGAGTGGGCTTACTCCTGGATGCTTTTCTCTCACCTTCCAAAGAATCCTAAGTTACTAAGTGTCCCTGTGTGTATGCTGCAGTACTGTCCCATCCATTGTGTACTACCACATTATGTCCAGTGCTTCATGGAAATGCTATGCATTGCTCTAAACCATATGAAGAATAATTGGCTTTCTGATAGATGCATGGATCTGTTGCCATCCTCTGTGTTGGCATAAATTAAAATAGGGTGTCCACTTTGTCAGCACCATGGACAGTTCTGAGCAGAAACATTTGTGTTTTTCAATTGTAAAATCTTCAACTCCGTGCTGATGGACTTAAATGAAACATTAAAATTGTAGATCTAATTTCAAATGCATGTAGAAATTAAGATTTGTCACTCAATTTATTGGCCAGATCTCACTCAATTCATTGACCGCTTCTTATAATTAGGGACCAATAGAATTATGGAAAGGATAAGGGAGGAGTGTATTATTCTCAATGATCTGACCCAAACCTTTTTTTACTGTCCGTCTGTTCCCTCTGGTATTGTATTTCTGTAATCAAATTATCGAGCACATTTGACACATACCTCTGTCTCCTCCAGTTTGCACAGCTCTGCTGGGACGAGTCCATCTTTGTTTTTTTATATCTCTGCTTCCAGCAGTTACTTCCACCCACCTAACCCAATGCAGACACAGCAGATGCACATCTGAAAATAATTTTCCATTCTCTTCAAAATGAAAAAAAAAATGTCTGAGAGCTCAAATGCAAATAAAACATTAGTTTCTATAAACCTTGAACAAACCATCCTCATTGTTTCAAGTATGGTTTTGGATCCTTCATGGTTAGCTAACTTATTTTTTGGCCTTTAAGTAAAACACTTTAGGCTGCTGCTTAAGAGGATAAAATTGTGCTAAAAAGAAAGTCACTTTTCTCACTAGGTTTTGAGATCTGCAGTGATGATGTATCATCGGCTCTGTTCCCAGATAACAGACACTTAGCACGAGGCTCTAATGTGATTTTAATGATTTACCACATGTTAACCAAGTTTTTGGTTTTGGAATTTGTGAAAAAGGATTTGGCTTCTGTGCTTTGTTTTTAATTCTATTTTAGTATTTCTTAACCACATTCATCTGTCAAAAAATGTATCACATCTTCTAGGTCATTTTTTGTACTGTGATGAATTTTGGAAAATATGAATCATGATAGGTGGCATGATAGATCATGCTTTCTCACACTTTTTTTTCTAGGCTTTGTTTGAACACGATTTTTGGTCTAACTGATGTAAATTAAATTTAGCTAATTAATTCAAATCCCTTCCCCTTCTAGTGATGAATATTTTCTTGCTCTTCATCCTGTTTTAGGGTTAAGTTTTAATTACCAAAGTATGTAGGAGGGGAGTGAATTTCCATCTAGATTTAATTTAGTGAAAATACTGTACGTAAAGAAAGCTGTTTCTCTAAACTAATTAGATGTTTTCTAAATATACCATAGTATAATAGTTTTTCAAAGTTGATTGTGACCTACAAACTGTGTAGATGTGAGTACAGTACCTCTGTGGGTTATTCTCAGCACAAGCAATCCCCCTTTACCCAATTTTGCTTTGTGTGGGCCAAGCCTTTATCATTAGCTGACTGTGACCAGGATGCCCGAAGTAGTGGCTCAACGCTGTCCTAAGCCTGCCAGGCCTGGGTGGCTTACTTCAGGAGTTTTCTCATCTTGCTGTGAAACAGCACTGCTTGTGTATGTCTATGGGCTTTCACTGGCGTCAGTGCTGTCTGTGGTGTATCAGATGACCTGTGGCTCTGACACTTGTCTCAGTGGAGTGTAAGCGGTCCTTCATTCCCCCTTTATAGTACAATGCTTACTTCAATATGCCGTTGATTAACAACTAACAGTTCCACATTGGGTGGATATAAAATGGAAACATGTTAATCCAAATCTGTAGACATAAAAAAGAAATACAGGCAATATTATATGGATAATGGTGAGAACTATGAATGGAGCAGTTCTGCATTCTAGAAAACAAGAACAATATGCTCTGAATACAGTGGGTTTACAGGAAATAATCAGATATGGGAATAGAAAGGAATTAATGTAATGGAAGGGGAACAAGGATAATGTCGAAGTTAGAATGTACAGTAATGTTATCTATTTTTTTGTGATTTATACTATTTGTGAAACCAACACATCAAAATAGAACAAATGGGAAAAAAGCAAGGGGAATCAGGAATTAAAAGAAAAATAACAGTGGTTTTTGGATGGTCTGAAACAGATTAAAATAAATGTGTCATTGATTCAGTTCAATAGGTTTTAACTCACTTTAAGCAGACTCCTCTGTGTTCCCAACAGCTAATGAAGGTGGTAAATGAAATGTGTCCAAACATCACAAGAATTTACAACATCGGCAAAAGCCACAATGGACTGAAACTCTACGCTATTGAGATCTCAGACAAACCTGGGGAGCATGAAATTGGTAAAAAAAAAATAAAACCTTCCACTGTCAACAAAATAATTAGGAAATATAGTAATGATTCACAACATTTTTAATTCTAGTCTGTCCAATAAAATGTAGCATGATTAAACTTAGATTTAGGAGCTATTCATGTTGTACCTGTTAAAAAAGTATGAATTATTGTAAAAGATAGTTACTTGCTATAAAATATTAAAATCTATTTTTTGGAGAGATTGAACTACCTGACTATGTCTTTGTTTCTCTTTAATATTAATTAGTCTGTATTTTACCAGTCATCTGTACTCTGTGTAGATATATCATTGCATCATTTGATCTCATTCATAATTTTTCCTTAGAAATAATAAAATAGTAGTTTCACATTGTCGCTCCAGGTGAGCCAGAGTTCCGCTACACTGCTGGTTCCCATGGCAACGAGGTGCTTGGCCGGGAGCTTCTGCTGCTGCTGATGCAGTTCATGTGCCAGGAGTACCTGGCTGGTAACTCACGGATACGGCACCTGGTCGAAGAGACCAGAATCCACCTGCTGCCTTCTGTTAACCCTGATGGCTATGAAAAGGCCTTTGAAGTGGTAGGTCTGCTGAACCTTAATTCATCTGAGCAGCTGTGAATGGACTGACCTCACCGGTGCAGTGTGATGTGATGCCTACACAGTTTTATTTGAATTATGTAAAGTCAGCTTTTTCTTGTCACCTTCGAAAAGTGGCTATGATGTAGAGTGATTTTTTTTCTAAAGAAAAGAATATGATATCCGATAGTGCGGCTAAAACCAACAAACCCAGATGAAATTAGTGTTTCCATTTGAATTAATTCCTGAATTCTTCCATTTATTCTTTAATATTATTTATTAGGTAGTGAAACCTACTTAAATTATTAGGTTAACTTTCCTAAATTATTAATTATTGGTACTGTACCTAGAATACCATTATCCTCTCTTGATTTTATGTTTTGCTGTCTGGACATGTCAGAAAATGATAATAAATAATAAATAATAATTGAACAAAATATGTTTTGTACTGTATTTTGAACGTCAAGTACAGGTTAGAACATCATTATATATGCTCACTGTGTGTCTGTTTATGCAGTACTTACAGTATACATGTTCTAATGAACTTCATTCCAGATTACAGTAGGAGTTAAGGACAGCAGTCACAATATTTTATGGGTATATTTTAAGTATTAGTTAATTCTCCACCCAGTCACAATGCTACATGAATATTACTAATATCATTAGGCTGGTTTTATATAATCCATGTCTGATCTCCATAGTTTTGAATGGTATATTTTTCAGGGTTCCGAGTTAGGAGGATGGTCCTTGGGTCGCTGGAGTCAAGATGGCCTTGACATCCATCACAACTTCCCAGACCTTAATTCTATCCTATGGGAAGCAGAAACCAGGAAGTTAGTTCCCAGAAGAATCTCCAATCATCACATACCCATCCCAGAATGGTATCTGTCTGAAAATGCTACTGTAAGTCAAAGAAGGGTCCTGGAAAATGAATTGTCAAATTTCTAATTGTAGAAAAAGTAAAGAATTACTTCTGTTGTAGGACAACCTTGTCTTAGCATTTTCAGTTTAACTGCCATGTTAAACAAATTTCATCATAAAATTACTCATACCCCTTTGTTTTAATAAAAACAGAAGAACCAAGGGACTGATTTAAATACTTTTCACTAAAGCATTATTTATTTTAACTTAAATGTGTAATGTAAAGGTGCTTATAATGTGGGTTACTTTAATTTCTTGCACAACCTCAGAGTCCAGCAGAACAGTTCTTTGTTTCTCCTGGTGAAAGAAAATAAGAAAATGAACAAACTGTTTCAACGGTTAAACATCCTGATCGTTGAAGGCACACATTACCTTTTAGAAAATAGGAGAAAATAACTTTTTTAAGAAAAACAAGATTACATTGAGAAAAAATAGTATTTATTTCCAGAATCATAACATAAATATGTGTTTTTAATTTTAAGACATAGCAACGTCTGTGTTTTCGGTGTTTCTTTGCTACTTGACACATGTCCCTTATGTTTGGCTGATTTTATCTGCTTATTTGAAACAAAATGAGCTGCATTTCTTTTCACACTTCAGCCACTGAGCTTTCTGCCACTCCAGACTCAAATTTTATCTCTGGTCACTCATACCACAGCAGATTAAATTAATTTCAGTCCTACAATTTTCTGAACCACGTGTACAGAAGGTTGTGCATTTATGTTCACCATTTTGTTAATGAGACATCCCAACAATACACTTGCCACCTGAATGGAAATATCTGTACAAATTTTAATACAATTAAAACACAATATATACAATACTGTTCCAAATGGGGAGTTACGAAATTGACCGAGCGGTTAAGTCAATAAGTAAAATAATTATTCATGTCCCCCAACTTGTAAGTGATTTCTAGCAATATACCCGAGTGGCTGGTATAATTAGAGGCACGTGAATTCTTTGTTCTCTGGCACAGCTTTATTGAGAAGAGTAGTAATCCAGGCACATTTGGTTAAACAAATATGCATTACAATGACACGATTCGAACTACACTATACACAACAAAACCTAAAACACAAGTTACATATACTATATACAGTATTTACAGACAAGGCGTTTCGGAGGCCTAACATTCTGGTTACCCAGAAAACCCCAGACAGCTACTAAGTATTAAACGCATAGTATGCCTGCAGTGGCCACAAACATCCTCTCTCCTTTGAAGTTTGAAGTGTTTACCCTTCCAGGTGTCACAAACTTTATCTGAAATCTAAGAGACACTTCTCAGTCACCTAAATATTTAAATCATTCTGGTTAATAATATTAAAACCATACTATAGATTGAGTATTGCTGAACTAAGGTATAGAGAAAACACAATTGCTGCTAATTGCTGTATTATACAGAATGCATGTTGCTGTTGAATACATACAGAAAAGGCTACTTTTTATACACTATATAAAAACTAATCTATATTGAACATAAACAATGAGGTAATTGTGGATTCAAACATTTAAGCTTTGCAGCTAGAAATAACATGTCTGTACCCTAGTAAAAAGTGTTTTTTTTGGTTTTGTGCTTGGATTTGATAGTCATGAATGAGAATTCATATGTCAATAGAACTATACTATGTGGTACACAACACTGAACTGTTTTATTTATTGCAATTTGTGAATCTCATAGCTAAAAATGGTACTTTTCCTAGGAATCTATTTTTATGTAGAGAGCCTTACAGAGAATAAGCAATGACTCACTCATCTTTCTAAAATAGTAACACAGCTGCAGCTGGAAAGATCTTTTCCCCTTTTATGTGTTGTTTCCCCCCCCGGCTATATTATGATAATCAGTTGTGCTCAGTAAAATGTGAAAATTATATTAATTTTTCACCTCTGTATTGTTGTCTGTAATACAAAAGGCCTTTATTTAATGCATTAATGGCTTTTTAACACTGGGGCTACAAAGAGGAAAATTGAAAATTTACTTTAAATGTCTGGTAATAAATTATGGAGAACATACCTCAGGAGGAAATAAATCAGTAAGATGCAGTAACTTTCTTATTTACACTTTTAGTTATCAGGCACAATCTTTACAATATCCTTTGTTTCCCTTATTTTAAACTGAAATTTGGTAAAGCTGATTAAAGTATGACATTTTGCTCACAACATTACATTATTTTTTTTTCCGTTTTCTCCAATAACAGCCTTCCAGGTCATTTTTCATGGCTTTCCAGGTTGAAGTCCTTATCAATGCTTTGAATTGTCCCTGAGACAGTCCGGGTTGATTGTTCTTTCTTTCATGTGACCTCTTTTTTCCCAGACAGATGTGTGTGTTGCTGTTGTGTGTGGCTGGCTTGTGTCACTCTGGAATATATGAGTATCTGTAAGCTACAGTAGCTATGTAACCTAGGACACCTCTCTGGTGTCAGTTTTGGGGGTTTTCTCTTGATGTTTCTGCTCCAGGTTTGTAAGTGTGCTTTTCTGAGCATTCGGTACTAAAAGAAAGCACCCTTGATATCTGCACTTCATTGCAAGGTTTTTCCCAGTTACTTCCTAACTGCATGGCGTTTAGCTGCAAGCTCCCAGAACTACAGGTTATTTACAGTGGGTCTTTTTGTCGGTATACAGCAGTGGATGGACTAAAGTTTTGCAAATGAGTGAATCCATCAAGGCTCTTCTGGTCCGTGGAGTTTTCCACAGCACTGACTGCTTTTCTCTTCCCCGCTGGTCAAGGTGGCCATGGAAAGCCGCGCGGTGATCGCCTGGATGGAGAAGATACCCTTCGTTCTTGGTGGGAATCTGCAGGGGGGAGAGCTGGTGGTAACTTTCCCCTATGACATGGCGCGGTCTCAGCACAAGACCCAGGAGCAAACCCCCACGCCCGACGACCCAGTCTTCCGTTGGCTGGCGTTCTCTTATGCCTCCACTCACCGCCTCATGACCGATGCCAGCCGACGAGTCTGCCACACCCAGGATTTCGCCAAGGAGGACGGGACCATCAATGGAGCATCATGGCACACTGTGGCCGGGAGTAAGTTTACCAACTTCCATTGCTCTTCTGTTCTCTCTCTTTCACTTTGTCTTTTTCTCCAGGGTGTTCTGTTCTTATGAACAACTTCAGAAGTAGAGCCACAACAATAAAACAGCACAATTTCCATCTATCATTTCAAACATCTATTTTATGCACATAAGGGAAAATATATTAAATGCATTGGCAAATCTTTCATTGTGTCTGTCTCTCCTCTCTTTGTCACAGTAGCCATATTAAAATACTGTATTACGTTCACCAGATGAACCTATAGCCCTTTAACTTTTTTAATGTGATGGTCATCTCCATTATAAATGATTCTCTTCCAATTTACAGATATAAATGAATGCACCACAGTCCAGTGTTTCTGTGTTCATTAACTCATTCTCTGCTTTTTGTGTGCTTCATTTTAAAACTTTCTTATTTCATAAAAAATATTTTTTAAAAGGTAAAGCTTTTTTACTTCCTGTGCACCAACCCCCACACGAAATGTACATGTTATCTTAAATGGCCCCTGTTTCTACACAAAATGTCCTCAGATACGGCAATTTTCTGATTTTGGCTGATGATGTTCTTTCTAGCACAGTTAGTTCAGGAACAAAAACATGTCAGCAACACTTCTTCTTTATCCCCTTGCATCTTTGAAGGCAGCCAGCTTTTTGTGGCACTGAAGTGCTGACAGGGCCTTTTATTGTGTTTCTGCATAGCATGGATTATTCACAAGTCAGAAGGGGCAGCACTATAATCAGAAGTAGATATGAGCCTCAGAAAATTGTTTTGTTCCTGAGTAAACATTCTGTTTCTCAAGTAGGGATATTTCTCAGGTGTAAAACCTGTAAGTCAAAGGGTTTATAAGGTCGGGAGCCAGAGGAGAAAAAATAATGTCTAGGTAATGTCATTCCATGTTTCTATTTTAAAAGAAAATACTGATCTCAGAGAGGGACACTGCACCCATCTTTGAAGAATTAATTGTGGAAGTAGCCAACAGATAAACTCTTCCGTTTTGACAGGTATGAATGATTTCAGCTACTTGCACACCAACTGCTTTGAACTGTCGATGTACGTGGGCTGTGACAAATTCCCTCATGAGAGTGAGCTGCCAGAAGAGTGGGAGAACAATCGCGAGTCGCTGCTTGTGTTTATGGAGCAGGTACAGAGAGAAATATCTCAATTCCTGAGAGTCAGGGACAAAAATATATGCAAACATGTCAGGGGAAAATACGTGGAAACAAAAGTGGTGCAAGCTGCAAGGTGACTTAGATCTGGAAAGCAGGGATAGGACTAATACCTTTCTCAACAGATATTAATACTGTTCTCAGATATAAGCAAACACACCAACAGACATCCCCATACCTTAGAGAAATTATGTTGCAATATTTAGGAATTTGGTTTGGCTAACGTCTGTGTTCTTTCCTTAGAATTTGCGTGATTTAGAACAAATTACACATGTACTGTATAGACACATTCCTCAACATAGGCAAATGAAACTGACAAGATGCATTGAAACAAATAATGTTTCTGTGCTGTAATAGAGTTTATATACAATTTTACCAACAAGTATCTTAAATCTTATTTGTTAATGGATCCCCAGACTTATTTTTCCTGGGCCAGGAGTGCTGCCTGGACTCCATGGATTCTGAAGGCTGAAGGCTTTTAGGCATATCATTCTCAGTGTGATTGACTCCAGACAGAAAGAGACGATGTGTTCGTTTGATTCACAGTCCAAGGCAGAGGTGCACAACCGCACTGCAGGAAGACCACAGTGTCTTCAGGTTTGCATTCTACCTGAGCCTAACTGAACCTAATTGAACTAATTATTGACTTAACTTGACCAGCATAGCATCTCGTGTCAGTTATTTAGGTGCTGGAGAAATATACTGTAGATACCTGTAAGACTTGTTGAATTGCAGCCTTCCAGGAATACAGTCATATATCTCTTGTAAAGAGCCATTTGGTGATTTTATGGGCTCTGACAAAGAGGAAGAACACGATGAGCTGAATTCATTGTTGCCTGAAAAGAGAAAATGTGGAGAGAAGCCCAAGGGAAAGGATTGTAGACAGTATTCTTGATGATCCTAAGATCTCAAATGAATTAACGTTTTCAGTAAATGAAAAAAATGTTTGGACTGCAAAAGAGCAGGATTCAGTTTTGGTCCTATACCTATTGAAGCAGAAGTATGAAAGGGAGGTTCGCATAATTGCTTTATGTTCTAAGCAAAAATTTCCTTTTTGGCGCTCAATTCCACCCACTCCGGAACAAATCAGAAAAGTTCAGATTTTTTTACACATTGTTCTGAGGTGACAGTATCTGTGGTTGCCAGCAGCACTCTGTCAAAGAAATAAGAAGTTTTGTTTGTGGGAAGCATCTTGTCTCCATTTATTTAGTTTCGCTATATTTTTAGTCAAAAGGCAAAGAATTGAAATTGACCTTACTTGCTCACCATGGTGCTGCCCTCAGTGTAGGAGATAGCACAGTACCAGTGAAGAATGAGAAAACCATCACAGGAATAATGGAAACTATAGATTTTCTTTTTTCCCCTTCGGTGTAATGTAACTGTGGATAATGCTAACCCTAAGTCTTGAATAGATATGTCATTTTCGTTTACTGCCTTGAAGCATTTCAGACTGTATTTCAGACAATGAAAGAAGGTTAGAATCTTTTTGACAAGAATATTGCTTGACTAGCTTAAAGGAGCCTGATATAGTCCATGTTGTAATGCGTAAAGGACCAAGAACATTGTTGATAAAGTGAAAAATGGGATATACTGTACAGTATATGAATGTACACTGACTTGGGCTAGATGGTATATCTGCACTATTGAATACTGTGTATAAATGCACTCTATTTGCTGAATATATCTTATACATATTTAATAATGCATTATTGTTGATGGTGGTATAGAGCAGAATATTTTCTTAAAGCACAAGAGTCTGGTTGTCTTTGGGACTGTTTTGGATATTATGGACTATTTACATTGTGCACAATGCAGATTGACTGTGTTCTACAGGGGAATAGGAAGTATAATACTGTATGTACTGTATTTCACAAGAGCTCATACAGTATAGTTGTGTTTGGGTTTTTGCTTTATAACATTATGATATGAGGTATGTTTGTGCCACACAGCCCTGGGTTCCATACTTAAGGTACTAAAGAAGATGAGCTGGATTATACTGGAAACTGGGGGGATCACACATAGGACAAAGATGTCAAATTTTGTGCCCCAAATAATAGTTTTTCCCTCATCACAAAGTAGCGATCTCCTAGGTACTGGCAGGTAAACCATATTATAACTGAACGGCTTGCCTGCAAAAGTATGTTCTCTGTTGAATCAGTGACATAATAATTGAAAAAGCATTTACAGTATGATGCTCTTTAGTGAGTAATAATAATATTTAAATTGAACTACATACCACAAGCTTTCATTTTTGTCCTAGGGACAGATTTACAAGGCCAATCTCACACCTGCCTCCTGACCATCAGTGTCAGTACTTGCCATCATTTAGAAGCTGGTAAGGGAGGTGGGTTCAGTTCGAGTGCACACAAAAAAGTGAACATATCCATTAAATATATTTGCTGCTTTATTGCTGGAAAAAAGTTCATGTGCATTTGGCACTGTTCATCTGTATTCAGATGACTGCATCCAATTCTAGAAAAGAAGATTATTCACCAGATTACTGCAGTTGCTTTACATTAGCTGTCATTTAAGATCAGCAGAGGCTATAAAACAATAAATGGTATACTGTGTCATAAGTCAGTAGATTTATCGCAGTAGCCTCTGTTAGCTGTGTTAAAATGTTATATTCTGTATATACAGTATGTATTATACATGAGCACAATACATATGCACTCACCAGCTGTAACACTTATGAACATGAATGTTATTACTTATAACTTAGAACTAAAAAATAAAAAATGTTGTTCTGGCAGTCCTTTGTTGTATAGTGACAGTGTTATTCCTCCACCATCCCATGTTGACACCTCATCTCTCAGTATAACTTTCCCACTGGCTTTTTTCTCTTGGCATCTGGTTTCATTCTTTCGTGTTGGCAAAAACAAAAACTTAAGATGACCTCTCTCTTGGAAGACCTTTATTATTATATAATATTCTTCTCTCGCACATGCTACAGCACTAAACCCCCATGTGAAATGTGCGCTGTGAACCCCCAGCCTCAAGTTTCACCTGTTTTGAATGGATAATTAAATATTCTGAAAAAATTTATACTAACTCTTGCAGTATGCATAACAACATTCATGATTACAAGCTGTTGTTTTTTTTTCTTTTCTGAGATTTGAAATATTAGTGAGGTTATGAGATAGATAGATTTTACGGATTTTATTAAATTGAGGTGTTACAGTAGCCCAGCCCAAAACAAGCAAAAACAGACATCAAAATAGACTAAAAATTAAAATAAGTACAGCAAAATAAAATAGAGTTAGGTGTGTGCAAATATGCTAATAGTCACAGTGAAACAATAAAATATTAGCAAAATACGCATAGCTATACTGTATACAGATTGAAAGTGCCCCAGTAAATACAGTATATTAATGCAGTGTATAAAAAGTACATTACTGCAACATGCTGTCCATAGAGCAGATGAAGGGCTAGCAATCCTAGCCTAGGGCAGTGTTATCCAGCCTTAGGTACAGTATTACATTTCATTGGGTAATCGAAGACACTAAGACACCAATGAGAGAAACAAAATACTGAAAAATAGTATCTTTATTTATTATCCAAAAAATGGAAATATCAAGAAAAGGGTTTAATAGCCAGAAGATAACCATTTAAATTGCAATGTAGTATTGATTTGATTCAAGGAAAATTGAATAATCAATCTGAAAAAGAATGTAAGAGACACTTGTGTTAGTCAATTACTTGAAACGTCAGGCCATTTGCCCAGTTTTTGGTCTTTTTTTGTCATCCAGAGTAATCATTGTCACACTAAGCTTCACTTTCTCATTGTTAATCAATGTTTTTATTCCTAAGGTCCACCGTGGGATCAAAGGAATAGTGAGAGATGCTCAAGGTAGAGGCATAGCTAATGCTATCATATCTGTGGAAGGAATCAACCACGATATTCAGACAGGTATGTTCTTCAAGACACTCATGGCTTTTTACAGACTTAAATTTTAAAAAGATAAGAAAGAGAAAATTGATGTATTACCTTAGAATGTTTACTGGTTCCAAACATACTGCATTTCAATGCAATTCAAACAAACTTGTTCTTTCTGGATTGTAATTCAGAAGAAAAAAACAAGATGCTGGATGTAGTCTTTTGTATGTGTACACTGTACTTATACAATATAAAAAATAAAAGAAAATAGAATAGTGTTTTTCAGGATAACCTCAACATTGTGAAAAGGGTAATGCTTTTTTATATATCACATCAGCTGGAACTCCAGATTAAACTCAGAATAAGACACCTTTCCTTAACTGTGGAATATGACATTTTCTGCAAGTACTATATACCACTTTTGTCCTAAACCCACAGTAGAAGATTGCACACCGTGAATACAATTTTCACTTCCATGCCTTTCTGTAAAATCAGTGCCTGTGGTCTAACAACACTAGCAATATGTTCTTTATACAAGTTTGTTTTCCAGGTTTCTAAAAATATTTAGGATACACCACCTTTAAATAAAAGTTTGAAGCAAGTTCATTAGTTTAATTAGAAAACTAATTATGTGTTGGAGACAGATGTTAAAACAGCAAAAGGACAACCTGCTCAGTGCTGAGGAACATTACCTCCCTTTTAATAATTCCTGAGATTTTCTTCACAGTTAGTGGGTCTGACTTTCAAAGAAGTGTGTGTGCCAATGCTGCTTCCACGGGATTCTTTAATGTAAGGACAGACTGACAGATAAAGAATGTTAATCATTTTCAATTGCGGAATTGATCTGAAAATCCCTTTCTTATATTTGAAAACCCTCTTTAGTTTCATATCCTGGAAATTACGATTTCATCTTTGCCCATGGTTCATAGCAGAATTCTAATATTGTTACCCTTGGTTTAGACAAAAAAGAGATGGAGACACAGTAGTGCATGGAAAAACATGATAACCTTTTGATAGCAATTTGGATATTGGAAAACCAAATTATCCAATATCTCCCCCTGTCATCAGGAATGTGAACTACCCACACGTACGCATGGTACGCAGGTAGTGAAGCCATTTTTTTTAATTGACCTAATATTTATTTAAAAAATTACAAAAACGGTGAGTCCGTGACCCCAGGCCTGCTACAGACTAAAGCTACCATCTCACATCCCTTCAGGGTTGTGATCAGACTTGCAACAACAAAACAAACATTTAGGGAAGCAGTGTTGGTTTCTAGACAACAAAAGACCCTTCCAAGGACAGTCTGCTCTGTAACACAGAATCGAGAACCATTTCTTTCAACAAAACAATGCATCCAGGTTTTATGAGCTCTGCTAAAAAGGCTGCTAAAAAATAAATCTTTCCTTAACCATAAAAAGACCCACAGCCCTTGTTCTCCTGAATTCAGTCGGGTGTAATTGGTGGTGAACAATACTGGCAATGTTCCGGTTCCAAAAAACACTTGGCCTTTTCTCTGCAAGCTCCAAAAGATGTGAGGTGATGCAGCAAAAAAGAGAGAATTTATTTATAATCTGGTCCCACAGTGCCGGTTGATCTCTTATTATGTCAGTTCTCTGCCCTAGGAAAAGAACTCTCATTGGACGATGTGCAAAAAATACCCCCCTACCCTCAACAATATCAAACACTTGACCATCTTCTTTCTAATGTGTGGTAAATATACAGTACCAAGGTGGATTATTGGATGTTAGAAACGTCCCTGAATGTCACATGAGGAATTAATTTATTTTCTCCTCTGGCAAGTGTCAGATAAAGCTATTTGTAACTTCTTAAGATTAGTCTGCACACAATTAATGTGTTTTATAATATGCTGGACCTATTTTAAGGCTTATAATGGTAAAGTGTCACTTAAATTTCATCCCAACAGGATGACTCATACTTATGTCTCTGGGCAAGAAAACACTTGCCTAAACTAAGACAATGATCACTGTGTGGCTTAAGACAATAAATAGCCTCCAATAAATTAAGAGGGCTCCAAAGACATGTTTTAACAGAAGAGCCACATTGTGCCACTGCATCTTTTGCAATTTTTGAAATATAATTGGATTTATTATGGAATGATGATTAATACATTTCTTTAGAGAAGGGTTCTGTACTTGTTATTTTTTAATTGAGCCTTAAGGCCAGAGAAGTAGGTCAAATGTAATTAGTTTGACCTTCTACATTACCTTACAGCTCGAGAAAAAAAAAGAAAAGTAAAAGATCACTAACAGAAGTGTGATTATTGCTGGTAAACTGTCTGCATGTCAAATACATCATGATGTCTAAAGACCCTGGCAGCTGCATATATCTCCTTTCTTTTAAGAGCGACAAAGACACTATTTAGTGTTCAATATTTTCTTAAATACAATGTCATAGTCACTGTGCTGTCAGGTTTTGTTGAAAACCAATTTCTCTTTGTTTTAAATGTGTGTCAGAAAATGATTAAGAAAAATGTGACAGTAGGAATGCTGGCATGAAATAGAGTGGAAACAATACAGGTTTTTGAGATTACAGGATAATCATTCGTTTTTTAAATATACTTTACTTTGAATTTCATTTTAATTCTTTCTGCAAGGCAGAAAGAACAAAGGGGAGCTTTTTGTTTCCGGTATAAGGTTAGAAGCTGATTTAGCATTCAAGTAGGCTTATTATGATGGTTTCAAATTAACCTTTAGAACCCATCACAATAGCAAATATATGGTAAATGTCATCAGTGTTCCTGTGTAGGTGTCTCATAGGGAATATGAGGTCAGGAAGGAAATACTCTTGTAGGATTTTAAGAAGACTGTAACTCTCCTCCATTAATACGTTCTAAATATATCATTTATTTGATCATATAAATGAACACTGTACCATAGAGAGATAAAATTATTACTTCAGTTATGATTATTTAGCCACTGTAACCTCTAGGAAGTTTTACTAAACTACCTTGTTAACTATCATCAAACCTACAGTATGAGAAAAGGAAAGGTGGAGTTCTAATTAGAGCTATAGCAATAATAGGTTCCCAGTAGGAGCTGTATGAAGTCAGAACATGCCTACACTCTGCTTTCTGGCTTGATCACAGACACTGTTATGCCCTGGATTTCTTCTGATTTCTGCCCACACAGTGCTATTCTTAACAAAGTGAAGCAGGTACTATTTAGCATGACACCGTTCAGTGCTATTTTTAAAACTCTTACTATAAAGGGTACATATGCAGTATATTGTATATCTGGAGAAATAAAAGATAGCTCTGAGATTTTTTCTTGAAACTTTTTGGGGTTTTTTAGTAATATGTGTTTTTTTTTTTACTCAAGTAAAATATTGCATTTGTTTCCTTCTTCTAATAAATTAAACTATTATTTATGACATCTGGAGTATGCAGGTTTTCTTTGGTAGTTTTCATTGTCGCTCAAATGACAAACCTTAAGACACCAAGTAACTATACAGTATAAGTCCATACCATAACAAAAGCATTGACATGGGATACCTTCATCTATAAATCAAACATTATGTATAAAAGACAAAAAATCTAAGAATGTTGTGAATTACAGTATATTAATTTCTACAAAATACCTTGAAGCAAGAAAACATACTTCAACAGTTTATTGAGGGACATCTCATGGACAAAGCATTGAGAAGAATGGTATTCCAGAGACAACCAAAGTGAATAGGTCACCCTGACTTCAGATATTCAGTGAAGTATAAAGGGGAAAAATTGAATAATCTTCTGGCATGTGTAAGCTCAACAATGAATTAATTTGGTACAGGTGCAGTACACGCAGATCTGAAGTAGTAATACACAGTCTCAATTGGAAATAGATTTTTTTCAAAACGTGAGAAATGTCTGGAGCACTTTATCCAGCTGGGTGACATTATCCATGATACTGGATTGTCTTTGAGGTACATAATGAGCTCCACTAGCCTGATATTGTATATTCTAACACTCTCCTTCTTTCATTCCCTGTTTCTCCCATCAGCTGCCGATGGGGATTATTGGCGCCTACTCAACCCTGGGGAGTACAAGGTGACTGCTAGGGCAGAGGGCTACACCCCAACCAGCAAAGTGTGTGAGGTGGACTACGACATGGGTGCCACCGAGTGCGACTTCACCTTGAACCGCACCAACCTCTCGCGCATCAAGGAGATCATGGAGAAGTTCGGCAAGCAGCCCATCCCCATCCCCGCCAGGTCACACCGCCAGAGGGTTCGGCAGAGACGCCGGCAGACATAGGAAAACGTTTACTTTACGTGAACCATGAATAATTTAAGACTGGCAAATAAAAAGGAAGGGGGTGTCAGTAAAGAAAGAGTTAAATTGCCATGTGGAGAACATTTACGTACAGTAGTCCTTCAAATGCCAGTGTAACTCTTGCTCACCAATCACTTCCACCAGGTTACAGATGACACAGAAAGTTCTCCTGTGTGATGTGTCCTTAAAAATGTGGTATACAGTACCTTTTAGTAAGCTAAGGTAAATGGTGGTGTGTGACCTGGGGTATAGGATGTTACTAATTTGAAACTATTAGTACAATTTAAAATAAAGTACAACAAACCACAGGAAGATCTGCATTTCCCACCAATAAGGGTCAGTAGTTGTGGGCATTCTGAATGGTGCATTTAAAGGGAATAGGTGTGCTTTCAGTAATGACTATTGATTAAAAAAGGTTGACTTTAGTACAATGTTTTCTGAGTATATGAACATTTTAATTGTATAGGCTTCAATTTATATGCTTTTGCTCAAAACTACAAAAATGTTATCCATTACAGGGCATTAAGTATCTTTCTGCAGCTTATATGACAATTCACACAATATTTGTATGTGTTCTTAATAAGTGTGTAAGAAAATACATAATATGCTTTAACATGTTTACTGTTGAACTCCTAAACAATTCCTTTGGCCAGAAACAGACAGAACACTTTACTGTGACATTTCATTACATGTTAGATTCCTTCCCATTTTTCCAGAATTAGTTCACATTATGTAAAAATATTTACAGTTTGTACCAGGATCTCTTTTTGATGAGGGGGGGAGTGATTGGACGGCTGTTTTTCATTCCATTCTCTTGACTGTGTAACCAATATCATTATTCACTTGATTATTTATACCAGTCTTTAACTTTCTTCCAAGGTAAAAGGCTATCAATGGCTTAAACACACCTACAGTAAGTGCAAGTTAAACCTGCCACTGGCAAATTATAAACCCAGTATTTGGTGCTGTGTTTCCACTGAATGCAATCAACATGTCTATGTGAGTCAGAAAGCTGTCTACAATAACTGATTTTTGGAATTTAGAATTTGTACATGGGTCATGTTTTAACCTTATCTATCTATTGTGACTGCTAACCTCAAGGCCAACAGCTGTGCCCACCAGCTGTGCCCACCTGACCTGGATCTATTGCCATAGAACAAGAAACAGACAATCGGATCAGAATCATTAAACTACTCAGACCTTCCACATTCTGTCTATCACATGCCATCCATAAAAACTATTTTAAGACCTCATTTGCTAAACAATTGTTCAGAATAATTATTTTGCCCCAGTCTTAATCAGATAGCCATTACATAAAAATACCTATAAAAGCTGCAGTGAAACTGGGTTGATCATTGCTGTTACAATAATGTTTAGGCCAGATACTCCATGTTGCTATTTATTTCATGGAGTTTATAATGAAACTTTGGGAGGGATGACAACAGCCAAGTTCAATCTGACTCAGCTGTCAGTAATACACAATTAGTCCTGACATTTCCTCACATCTCTCATCCTAGCGTTAATCACACATCAGCAGGGTCTGCTTGCCGGCACACCTGTCTCCATTTGGTGGTTTGAACCAAATCTTTGAGCTGACATTGCCATTAACTGCGACCGAGAAATACCGGCGCGTCGCTCCGCCTGCCGTCGGAGTGGGGGGGGGGTTCTTTTCGAGAAACACCCTGGGATTTTTAATGACCACAGAGAGTCAAGACCTCGGTTTTACGTCTCATCCGAAAGACGGCGCCTGTTTACAGTATAGTGTCCCCTTCACTATACTGGGGCATTAGGACCCACATGGACCGCAGGGTGAGCGCCCCCTGCTGGCCTCACTAACGCTTCTTCCAGCAGCAACCTTAGTTTTTCCCAAGGAGGTCTCCCATCCAGGTACTGACCAGGCTCACACCTGCTTAGCTTCAGTGGGTTGCCAATTATAAGTTGCAGGGTGACATGGCTGCTGGCATCATTTCCTCACCTAAACATGATAAATACTGTATGTTATCATTTTCTCACTTCATGTTTTAATCCAACCTCCACCTTCGCAGCTGCCCTTTGGTCACTCCTCACTCTGCATGGGGCTTCCAGTCTCCTTGTCCTATGGCCAGCTTAGCCCTGAGCCAAGCGGGTTAAGATTTTGGCGAAACCCCCCATAATCCTTTCACTACACTTAATTCGTGGGTGCTGTCAAACATTATTGAGTTAATGTTTAATTAACTTCACTCTGTAGTTCCCTCACAATGGACAATACAACCTATCTGAATAAGGGATAAAACCTTGTAGACAGATTACCTAGGGAACTCATTCACAGCTGTATTGTGTTGTAATTCATTTGGATTTAATTTGTCTTAAAATTAAGAATCATTTTCATACTTGGTTTGTGCTATAAAATTGTACCACAAGACAAAGAAATATTATATATAAAAAGAAACAAGTAATAGGTTTATTCTTCAGGTGTGAGAGAGACAAGGCAGTAGGCAAAGATATAAATGCAATTACATTTTTCTAGAGGATCTAAATTTCTATATACTGTATAATGGTCCATTAAGGTTACTTAAACTTGTGCCCAAGTCTACTTGTAATAATTGCTTTACTATAAAAAATATACCAATTTGAGCTTGTGTCATTATGCCTTTGGTATACTGTAAATCCACTTACAGTCAATAATGACTTCTAATACAAAATCATTTGAGAGATCTTACTCTGATGTAACTCAGCGGTGCTTGAGTCCAGTCCTGGAAGGCCACAGTCTAGCATGGCTTATAAGCTTCTTAAAATCAGTAACACCATGTGACTGGAAGAGCTGCTAACCTGTTTCAGTGAAGCCAATGATTCAATAAAAACCTGCAGACCCAGCAGCCCACCAAGATTGGTTCTTGGCATCCTTTGTGTGGACCCAACACCATGTTCACTGTTAATGAATAATTTGCTTAAAATTACATTTGAAAACTACTTTAAGATCAAGGAAGTAAAAAACAAGATCCATCATTTATCAGTTTGTATAGCTGATGGGCCTATAAAGATCCTACCACCACACACACTCTCCATGAGGATGAAGGCTTAATGGAAATGCATTGCAATCCATTAAGACCAAATAAGGTGATTCTGAGCAACAGTAAGACTGCAAATCTACAGTACCTGAGACTTTAATGCAAAGTGGATGGAAGTATATTTCACCACAATTTTCAACAATTTTGGAAAGTCCTGAGTAAGAACTAATTTTTAAAAGCTGTTAGAGAATAGTTTTGGTGAAAAAAGGGTTTCTATGCCAAATACAGAGTGACTGATCAATTTTCATGTCCAATCAATGTGGCTTTCTCTGTTGCTGAATAATTTAAAACATTGACCAGGCTCTTTCTATGTCTAAAGATAATTCTGTTTGTGTTCATTTGACACATGGTTATTACCCTTTTCTAAAACTGAAAATGACACTGTATATGTGTGCATGTATACAATATTTATACATTTTTAATTAAGATTTCATAAAACTTTTTTTCTAAACTTTAAAATATTATATGATATTCCAGGTAATGTTATTGCACTTTAAAAACCCCACCAGACTGCTTCTGCTTAGAAATTCTTGTATTTGGAATTTTTACTATTATGGATCTTTTATATGCAGGAACTGTATGAGGCAGTTTATAATAAATTCACTTTTTGTCTAATATCTCTTGTGTAGGTTTGTGCCAGAATGCATTTCATCTGTTCCCCACTGCACAGCATAATTTTAAAATGCAACTTTCTAGAAAAATAATCCCGGAATGTTGTATTTTAAAGTATACTACAAAAATATGTATTGGTAAAAGACGAACACTGTTTTATTGACAGTACAGAACGAGATTATTAAGGCTAGAACAGTCTAACAGTTTAGTACTGAGAAATAAACTGAAAGTGCCTTGAAGTGTTAATAGAAATAGAATTGCCGTCTCATTTTTGTATACCCCTGTGTCTTCAGTGCTGTCTTGGATAGAGATTCCTAATTAATGTGCAGCCCACCCTTTTCTGTCACGCCTGCCTGCACACCTGCACTGAGCCACAGCCGCCTGCACACCCGGGACTCCACAAACCCGCAATTACAGGGAGAAGTCCAATCAGAGGAGACACTATTGAAACCTTCCAGGGGTATTGAAAAGCATGCCACACCAGTGTCATAATTTCACAAGATAAATAGTGGGTGGATAATATGTGAAATCATGATTCCTGGACTAATTATCTCTTCCAGTCTCTCTTTTCTTTTCTTTTTTTGGCATTACATATTACTGTGAATTGCCTGTTGATAATATTTGCTAATAAGGAAAGGAGTGGAAAAATAAAGTTAAAGACTTTTTAAATATATTTGAGTAATGGCAGCCTGTATTTGTTAAATTAAATAAATAAATATCATTATTGATATTGTTTGTAGTGATATGATAATTATTGTAGTGTTCTACATGCTACACAATTTACACAATTGGGTGAAGTAATGTGATGTTCCACATGGAATATACTTAGATACATTAATAATACAGCAAATGAGTGTTGGGACCAGTGGCATTTGTTATGCTTTTAATGCCTCTCACTACTGTATATCCATATATTCAATTTCAGCAGTTCGATTAATAATTACCTGTGTTCCATTCCCACCTGCTAGACTCTGTCAGACAAAACAATCCCCCAGTTTTGTAGGAAAAACTCTTCTATCCATACAATGTCTTAAATTCTGTCCTATGTGTCCAGAGCTACTGTATATCTCAGCAATCATGATCATGAGCAATCAAGGTCTTTGATCTTGAGCATCAGAGTGTTAAAGCTGTATAGTATATCTTGCTCTGTTTTTATTTACTGGTACTTTTTAGGCACATCAATGAGCCATGTGACTTTATACAACATTTTCCTTAATAGTGCACTACAATATACGGTATACTGTTTTGTACATTTCATTTGCAAGATTTTAATTAAAAAACCAGAAAGATATAGTAATTCTACTAGTAATTCAGGGTTCGTACAGGTTTTCCAACATTCACCTCCCATCTGAAGCCAATCAGGGTGTCCAAAGGACATTGCTTACTGCTCAGTCTGTAATGCTGTACAGATGTGTGGGAAGAGAGAGCTGCCATCTGACCTTAATATTGGTTCAAAGGCCACTGCTCCCTCTGAAGTTGTTCCAACCTTTGAAGTGAATGTGTGTCTGCATGGATATTACATGAGTGAGTGGCATTATTTACAGTATCTGTTTAGTGACTTTCTAAAAGTCTTCATACTCTACAGCATCATTGTTGTTCTCATATTGGTAAAATAGAATACAAACAAACTGATAAACAGCCAGATACAGTACATACTGTAGATAGGTAGATTGGCCATTTATACTGCATATACTGTAGATAGATTGGTGCTTGCTCTTCATGTAACACTATAGTTTCATTACTAACTTGAAATGCAGACATATTGCATAGGTCTACATGTTTAATACACAGCATTGCTTTAGTGCATTTGTGTCATGGTACAAAACATTAATGTACAGGGACAGATGAAATGTGGAAAGGCTACAGCACGAATGTGTTTTCTGAGATTTATGGAAGTGAGTGTCTGTTTTCACTTAACGTACTGTACATCTCTCAGATGCTCAGGGCTTGCTTGGCTGAGCACAGCAGGAGCACTTATTCTCTGTGAAACAATTGTCTTCTGAAGGTAATTAACTCCTGCAGAATCCCATTTGAAGATGGTTTTGAGGGCTTTGAGAGGGAGTCTGTATTTTGAGTAAAAGCCATTTTCAGCCCTACATTCCTCAGCTATTGTACTGCCATTTCATTACCAAGATCAGTATGATGCAAGTACGTAAACCAGACCCTCAGCATGCTCTGTACTAAGGTGGCAGACAAACTCAATTACCATACAGTATGTCTTACAATTTGATTCCCTCACACACTTGTATTCCCTGCCTTTGGAAGAGCTTCTGTTTATTTTCTGTAATTTTCATCACTAAGTCATAGCTTGTGTATTTTAATTACGGAAATTGAACTAGTCAGAGCCTTTCAGCATTTGACTTTCATCTCTGAACAAGGAGCCAAGCTACAAGTATAGTAACTAATAAAACTTTGGCATCCTCAGCTGCTCTCTTACAACACCACTGAGTTTGAATTAAATTAAAAATGAAAAAAAATATTTAGCTTAAAGTGGCCTTAGCACAACATGTAGGAGACTGAAACACCTGGGAAGTAGCATGCAATGTTGTTGAACCTGATTTGCTCTTGAAGCTGATATGTCTGAGATCATGCAGGAAAGGATGAGATGAGGTCCATGACTCATTAAGCCACTGGCAGCCAAACAGGCAGGGTGGATTTGTAGTCTTGCTTATGTTCATATAAGCGTCTTCTATTCAACTTGGAATTAACCTTTACTTGTTCCTATGTTCTTATGTACAAATGCAAGGTCTGCCCATTTCAACTCAATAGAGAATAAAAAGAAAAAATGAAAATAATGACATCTCCCATTTGTTGCTGTGCATTCCTCTCACATTTCTCACAGTTCAAAGACGTACTGATAGGTTCATTGGCTTCTGGGAAATTCGGCCCTGGTGTTGGGTGTATACTGTAAGTGTCTGTTTTTGTCTTTGTGCACCCTACAATGGAATGGAGTCCCCTCCATCTACCCCATGACCCTGAATTGGATGAAGCTATTAGAAACTCGATGGATGGATATACTAAAGTTTCTTCGATAAGCAATATCAATGTCTCTGTGTATTTTTGTTTTATTAATTCCATTTCAACACAGAAAAAATAATTCACCACTGCCATTATCCTTGAAACATTACATCATTTATTTTAATAAACTCACAATAAATAGAATTTGCAAAATTAAACACTATCATAACAAAAATATATACTGTATATAACAACATTTTATATAGTATGGCTTCACACTCACAGAAGAAAATAAAACACTATAAACCTTACAGAATCAGAAAAGTTATTCAGGGAACATTGAAATGCTTTCAAGAGGAGAAGAGCCATTAGACTCCAGAATGCTTGCAAATTGCAAAGTCTTGGGAGAATGGGAGCTTGTTCTAAGCAACACAGGAATCAATGTTGTAGGGGTCAGTTATGTTCGTTAAAGAGGAGTCTGTTTATACAAGCAACATATTTTGGTTATATCATTGTGCTATATTAACAAAGTCTGGTACAGAATTATAAACAATATAGTATTGCTGGCATGTTTTTCCACATATTATACTTTATTAGTATATTATTATGTTTTTCTTGCTTAATTGTAGCTTAATATAATCACTTTTGAGATAAGTATATACTATACACGGTAAAGTGCACTAAAAAGGTAATGGGACAGAAAACTCAAAACTGTTTTGGTTGTTTTATGGCCAAGCAATTTGTATTTGTTATAGTGTTATTTATATGAGTGGTACAGTACAGTAAAAACAGTATAATTCACATTTTACTTTTGGATAAATACATGGATACCTCTAATGATATTAGTACAAAAACCATAACCTCCAGAGGTAACCATGCATAATGTACCAAGGAAGTGACAATTAACCATACTTCAAAAGTACAAAGATGAGACAAGATTGTTTCGGACCAAAGTATTATGGACAGATGAGACCAAGATAAAACACTGCTTAAACATTATCTGTAAAGTATGGTTGAGGTAATGTCATTCATAACCATCTCTTGAGCTGATTTACTTATCTTTATAAAGGATGAAGTATTCAGGTGGGTAGCTGTGTCTGCATGTATAGGCTGCAAAGGAACAAGTAATAGGTTTATTCCATGCTGAAAAGAGAAGAAAGAAACACAACTTTTCGGCTGTGGAGCCTTCTTCGGGTGTGCGATGTATTTTCTTTCTACAGATATCAGCAACAGAATGAATTCTGGACTTTACAGAAATATTGTGTCTTCTTTTGTAGAAGAAAATACTACCATACTTACTGAGTGCTTTAGCATGTCAATAAACACAAACATGGCCAATGTAACCAAGGTGTACAGTTAAGTCAATCTCCAGTTTTAAATGAACATGCTTTTTACAAAATGAAGACAAAATTAAGTCAGAAGACTCTATAAACATGCTAGAACCCAAAATGGCTGCAGCAAAGGCTTAGCAAAATATTTCTATTGACAGTACAGAGTTTGTTTGGTGAGCTCAATGAGTCACAGACTTCACGCAGTTATTGCCTCAAAGGCATGTCCAATTAAATACTGACTTTTTCAAATTTTCTTAAAGGGAATGTGTTCCAATACTTTTGGTCACAAAAAAACACAACACAAAGTATGGAATTTTCTAATATGATTAATTGCATGCATGACATTTTCCAAAATATACAGTAATGTATATTATATTAGCTTGTCCAATTCTCATGAGCATAAATTCAAATTGCTTGAGTGTAAACCAAATGTAATAGTTAAATTCCAATATGTTTGGAGGGCACTGAAAGTACTGTGCACTCAAGAGCTACAGTACTGCTGGGACCTGATTCTCCTACAACAGTGTGTCATTTCTCTAATATTGCACATATAAGGCATATTTTATCCCCTTGTAATTGGAAACACAAGTGTCTGGAGTTTCAATTTGTGATCAAAACAATTTGATCTTCTAAATTATTTAAGGGGAAGTTGAATGTGAGTATAAGGATATAGTAGTTTGATCTGTCTAAGTTACTGTATGAGTTATAGAAAGATTCAAATATTTACCTTCTAACTCATAACAATAACAACATGCTATTTTTAGGTGTGTACTTTTTAAAATGTAACAGTTTGGGGTATGACATACTGTACAGTTAAAGATTAAAGGTATTTCAAAAGTAATTATGTGTAAATGATATTTTGGCACTGCATTTTTTTATGTTTTCTTGCAGCTGATTCTTGCTGTCTCCATGCTCAACAGGCAGAAATGATTATTTTTGTTCTAACCGTCCCTGAAAATAAAAATGAACTTGCAGGATTCCAGACTAGATGACTCACTCCAGTGCAGGGATAGTACTGAAGTGATCATCTGTGGAGCTGTGCTACACAGTCCACACTCTGTGTCCCAGTAAACTAATACTTTGTCTATCCCACTGAGAGCAAGTTGTACTGAGCATGTTGTTTCAGCTTCCACTGTACAACACAGTGATCCTAAAAGAAGAGAACAGCTCACTGGGCATAACAGAGCTTGCACAGATCTTGTAATACACCAATGATACCAATTACAATTAAATTGCAGCTGTTGGCATCATCTAACCAAATGTTTCCAGCTCCATTGTCATCTCTACCAGCCATAAGAAAATGAGAATTAAAGATGAGTGAACAGATCTTAGATCTCAGTCTGTTACGTTTTCCATTGATAGGAGTTTGACCTTTATTTCCATTTTGTTTCTGGCAGCTTAATCTGGTGCAGTTACACAATATGCAAGAACCACACTGATATGTTTTTTTCTTTTTTTTGGACCACCACCGTCTGTTAAAAAATAATCATCCATTTTCATAATAACAAAAAATTAAGGATTTTACTTCAGTATATTTAACCTTAGTTTCCACCTTATATTGTGGGTTAGGGTTAAAAATGTAATTACTTTATGGATATAGAATCAATCTGAAATTAAATGCAATTTTTGAAAACATGAAAGATTTTTTACCTATATGTGAGGAAGAGATTTGTTGTAGCATTGTATCTGAATAAAATCACGTGCACTTACACAGTAGTTACATTTTCATTAAGTATACGGGCACAACAATGTTTTATCCAATCTTTTTTTCTTCAGCTAATACAAATTATAAGTGAATTAGCTATGAAGATTAAACAAATTTACCCTACAGTTAATATTTACTTGTTTTCACGTACCATGTAAGCCACGCATTTCTCTAAGACAGTTTATAACCTACTTAAATTAAATCACATGAAAATTACAAGCACATAGTCTTTAACAAAGATGTTAACAAAATATTTATAATACATTCCTCCATATACAGTATAAAAAATTTACCAAAGAATGATTGTGTGAATTCTTTGTTGAATACAGTGTAAATTCAACTTTTACATCATAAAACTCTAATTAACTGCTACTTAAAGTTTACTGATTCAATTGGCACTGTCATAAAATATATTTTCCTATAGACACAAGTTAAGAACATACTGTAACTGCTGTATGGAAACACAATTAACAAATCAAGTTCACATAGTTAACTTTACATTACCCAGGAGAGAGCAGGTTTTCAGTAAAAAGGACTGGTTTTCAAACTGGTTTTGAAAAGCCCAAAGTAATTTGTATCTGACCACGATCTTACTTTTGATCATTGGAGAAAAGGATAAGATTTTATCTTTAAATCCACTTAAATTTATGAATGGGTAACAAGATAATTGGTCAACTAAAAAGATCACTGATAGACAGCAATATTTAAGGCATTTAATCTATTGACCAGTCAGTTTATTAACATACGGTAACTAAATAGAACAAAACTGTGACTTGTGCAATAATGCTGGAGTTTAAACTAGAATTTTGAAATGGTATCCCTAAACTGTAAGATTATATTGAACAATATTTCCCTTTAGAAAAATAGCTTCTGAAAGCTGACTTTTTATATAGCTTCAATACATATTAAATGTTAATGAATAGTAGAGAATAGTAAATAATGTAAAGATAGCTTAGTACATGTCAGTTTTGACTTCTGAAACACTGCAAAAGCATCTGACCTCTTTCAAAACATTTAGATGTTGTTATACAGTAAATGTTATTCATACAGAACCTGACAAGAACTTTCATCATGCTTGTCTTACAAACTGGAAAAACACACAACATTGCTTGTTTCAAGTAAAAAAACAATCTTTTCAAAAATGAACTTGTATCAGCCATACAGGAAAAATATTTTTTAAATGCTGCATTTCTTATGATCAGGACATTTTTAGACGTCCTGAATTGGTTAAAAATAGGAGCTGTTAAACAAGCATTCTTGAACAGTCACATATATTTTCTAGGGCAGCAAAGATGAAGAAGCTAACTGAAGAAGACAGTTATCGGCTAAGATTTAACATCCAGTGAAAATACTCAAATGTGATGTTGATTGAATCATGCTGAATTTGGGGGCTACATATGCAGAATGGCTAATGTGTGATTTAAATTATTTTGAAGAAAAATGCAGTGCCATCACAATTTAAGTACAAGAAGGCACTGTGATGATCTTGTTTTTAATTTCTTGTTTTCAAAATGTTTTAAGAATTAGAATGGCAATGTGATTTGGAAAGAAGTGCATGTCTGCAAAATTCCTTTTAATCTTGTAGATTTCACCAAAATGTAGTTCATCATATTGGTTATTTCCATTTTTGCAACACCAATAAATGAAACAACAGGTTTCATATACTTCTTCCACTTCTCTGCATATGACTCCTGCTAAGTTTAACTATACTTTTAAACATACTGTTAAAAGTATGTACGCTCTTGACAATGTGTAATGAAAAAAATCAACGGGCAGTTCATGAGCTATGAACAAGATATTTCATTTTAATTGAAATTGGCCGTATTAATGGTTATGAACGTACTTAGGTTTCTGAATGTCACATGTATCACAAGCCATTTTAAGCCAGTTCTTAACATATACACCTTCTTAGTAAGAACAAAACCAAATGTTCCATCTATTACCAATTCAAAGTAAAAACTAAAATGCTCTAAGCTGTCCCAAAAATCATTTTCATTTTCTTCTATTTTGATGCCACTCACAATAGTGATGGTCAAATAAAGCAGAGTCTGAACTGGCAAAATAGTTTCCTAAATATTTTTAAATTCAAAAATGAAATATTTGAAGAAGAGGAAAGCAGAAAACCCTTTCATTCATTATTTAACAGAAATATGAAAGGATTAGCATATTTCATTGTCCTGCTTGCCTGCTAGCCGTTCAATTTACTGTGACAATCAAGCAGTGCTTCTTAGCACAGTTTAGCACATGCTTTGTAGCTGATGTGTAGCTCTGTCCTGACTGAAGTTCAGGTTAATTAGGCTGAAAACGAAAAACGCTCAGGAGCAATGGAATAATTTCACATTCATAAAATATTAAATCATCGAGAACAAAAAAGAAACAATCAGATAATGCATCTGTCAAAAAGAACCAAATTAGATCCTTTACACTTGGAAGCAAGGATGCAATGATACTATTTTAGAATTTTTTCTATAGAAGAAAATTTTGGCAGAGAGTTTTCTTTTTCAGTTCTAAGCCCTAGGGTAGAGATCAGACGAAGACAAATTAGACTGAGAAAATAATTTCCAAGAAATCAAAACAATGCCATATAATAACACTTTCTGTCAAATTAGGACACAATTGCATTGGAACACTTTACACTATTTGAGGCATGGAATGCCTCCAATTTTACAGCCAGTGTCTAGGTTAGAAATTTGAGCCTTGCATCTACTTTACTTGTCTAGCATGAGCATCAGAGAAGAAGTGAATCTGGAGAACCCAAATTAAACAATTAGTGTTTATTACTGTTTTCAGTTATTTCTTCTTTCCCCATGTTGTCATTTATCTGTGTTCTGCATGATTCCCTTTCCATCACCGCTGTTATCTGAGATGATAATTAATGGCTCCAGGTAAAAAGTAGGTTCTGAAAAGTGCTGCAGCTATACAGAGTGCAACAGACAGTCTGATCACCCTGAAAATGCTAGGTTGCTTCTATTGAATCTCCAGTGGTCTATATCACTGGTTGTAGGTGGCTGGTTTATTACATACAGACCAAGAGATGTCAAACTGTACCCACACCATTCAGTTAACTTTAGCCTGTCGTATTTGGCATACTTTAAGTGGCAGTTAAGTGATTTAATAACTGATAAGCAGCTACTGTACATCCAAATAATGGAAACATTTTTTGAAGTTACCTTACTCCACTTTGGGTTTGTCCATAGTTGCCCAAGAGTCAGACTGCCCTCCTGTCCAGTGCTAACTGTTGGCTAGAAGATGCTTGGTATAAACAAGTTACTTTGAAGGCAGAAATACTTTTAATTGTCTACCCAATGGGCAAAGAATGTAAACCAAAAATAAAGACAGTAAATGGATAAGGTTATAATGCCAATGCTTCCCTTCAAATTGAGTTATCATAACTAAAAATATTTTTATACAGAAGCTTAACAGGACACAAAGCCATTTTTTGAAATGTTAGAGTATACCATATAGAATATGTCTAATTGGATTTATAGCAAGTAAGATGAACTAACAGGTGGGTCCAGATGATAAAAGCTTCCTGTTTAACCTGCAGCATGTAGGGCCAAATCAGAACCTTCTGATACAGAGGCTCTTTACAATGATGTGTTCAAAGGCAAAAACCAAATGTCTTGGCCGTCAAACAAATCTCAAATCTTCTGATACAGAAAACAATGAAAAAACACAAATTTGTAAAGTCCTGCGTGGAAACTAAAGATATAGGAAGAAACACCACAGTACACCATAAGCAAGTATCACCCAGCAATTCTATCTTTTGAGCAGTACAATATACGAATGCAGCATTCTTTTTCCACATAGCTGAGTGTTTTGTTCAGAAAGAATAATTTAACTAAACTTCCTTTTTCATAATGTTTTTTCTATATTTTTTTGTATAGAAAAATAAAAAAATATTTACATTTCATGAGGCAGAGTGGGGTATATTTACAGTCACTTTCAATTCCCAGCTTGACATCCTCTGTTCAAGGAGTTGATGAAGTGAAGCGCAGCTCATTTCAAACTTTCACACCCCTAAAACCTTAAGATAGCCAGTTCATCAAACGATTCCACTGCAGTTTCAATCTCACTGAATATCTTCAGGACAAAAAAACTATGGGCTATATTTCTATTTCTATTCACATTGCATGAACCATTTAAAAAGGCATGCAAAGTAACACTGGTTGTCAGTTGGGTGGGCTGCATTTTCCATGAAGTCAGGCATGTCTACCGAGGAAGGCACTCAATGCGCAGGCTTAGTTCTTCTGCAGTTCAGAAGCAAGCGGAGGCAAGCACTGTCAGTTATGCTACACTTGATCAAACAACCTGAGGGGCTGACTTCAGCAGCATCGGAAACATAATGAAGAGATTTTTTCTTCCCTATTATTATTTTTGTGCTAAGATGTACAGTGCTGGTGGGCATCACCAATAATTGGTTTCAGAAAGCACAACTGTTGTTTCTTAGAAAACTGGGAAATTACAACTGAGACCAGGAGTATCGGATAAAGTCTATCCCCCCGTCAGCTGGTAGGTACAGTATGGTGGTGAGGAAAGGCTCTGTTTCCCAGGAGACTTAAAATGAAGACAATGTCCCATTAACACTGATGCAACTAGAGTTGTTTTTCAATTTTTTCTTCTTGGATTAGAATCCCCCCTTCATCATAATGTAAAAGTTATAATGTGCATATTGATGAACACACATTTCAGTAGGAGACACTGGAAATAATATAGAGCAATAACTTGTAACATTCCCCCTACAATCAATCAGAAAGAAAATTGCAGACAGCGAATAGCAAATTTGAAAAGGGCGGTAAATTACAAAGCCTATTGAGAACAATATGATCCTATCTGCAGATCAACCACCCAAATCATTGATTCCCTTGCACAGTGAGATTGCTCTTGCTTGGCTGGCATGGACTATGGGAGAACACCGATCAGCTATCTGCTAGTTGTAAGTGACTGCATACTCCTTAACTGGGAATGAAAGGAATCCATCTGCTTTTAAAGACAGAGAAGGGTATCATTTAGGGGTTCAATCTGGCATTTCAAAGTTTGTCTCCAAAAATACGTTATTGTATAGTATGAAGCATAGTATTGTATTTTGTGTAAGCAACACAGTATAACTACAGTAACTTACAGTAGCCCAGTATGAAAAATTACTTTTACTTACTTACTAAATATTTGTATTACACAAGCTATTTCCATCCCATTCTGATGCACCTTGCAGATCAATATGATGACTTGGTTATTCAGACCACACCTGCTTCTATATGAAAGTTAGGTTTTGTAGCTTTTTGGTTTTCTTGAGTCATATGTTGCCAACAGTATTTTTGTCCCCCACTTTCACTCTGTAGTTTGTATAATATTGTTTCTTCCATTCTCCCCCCTTACTCCTGATGAGTTTAAAGAGCGCCTTTTCAAGATTCTGTTAACGATGTCGCTGCATGTCTTCCTGTACTGATACCGGAGCAGGGAGTACACAAAAGGATCACAGGCCGCCTTACTGTAAGCCAAGCACTTGGAAACAGCTCCCCAGTGGGGGTTGATAGGCACTGCTGGAAACAGCTCCACTAGCCTGTCAAGACACACATAGAAAGAAAAGAGCAAATCAGGCAGAAGCGTTTACAGACGGCCTTACATTGTCCCCCAAGACATCTGCTGAAGTCATCGTAGCAAACCAAAACAACAACAAAATCCCGCAGTCTACTATACAATCTGTCATGAGATGATTTTTATTTTGTTTTACTTCAAAACACATTTCTGTTCAATGCTCATTAAGTAGTGAGTCATTCATCTTGGGAGTTCCTCTGCAGATTTTCAACCATTTTCAGTCTATTGAAGCATTTTTTTGGGTCAATGATATGAAAGATACATTAGAGAAAAGAGGCCAGAGATAAAATGTTTTAATTTATGCTCCAATTCTAGTTAATTCAGTTTTTATATGGTGCTAAACAATGTAATTTAAATTTAGAATTAAGGAGAGAGAGAGTACTCTTGTACAAAATGCAATACAATCAAATGAGGGATGAAGACTCTTCACTTTCAGCTAAACCTGACTATTTTATTAAACTGAAAGCTTCCATCATGTGCAGGAAAGATGCTTTCCACATAAACTGCACTGTATGTTTTCTACTATGACATACAGTATACTGTATATAGTAAATCAAATTATTCTCTATTGTTATCGCCTAAAAATAAAATTAATGTTATACTTATCTCTTCATGAGCTTTTTCCTGCACAGCTCTACAACAATTGATATTTGCCAGCCTATGTAGTTACAATTTCTGGAGATTTGAAAGGTCTGTACACATGACCTACTGTACATGTCCCTTCTTAAGGCAAAGATCTGCTCCTTGTTCAAATTTCCAGGTGTTTAGCAAACAAAAGTCAGGGCCCTGAACAGAGACCTACCAGGGTTTAAAGGGACAGTAAACTGAGGAAACACAAGCAATAACTTTAACACAATATGACAAATGTTTGTTAAGTCCTGCACCAAAATGGATCTTAGAATTTCTAACAAATACAGGGATTTTAAGAATTGAGCCTACTTGATGGCTCCATTCCTTTTTAAAACATCCTGTTTTTATGCCATAAAGCATTAATGTATATTAGCAATAAACAGATCCCATTTGGGAAACATACTGTACTGTATGACAGAAGCCAGGACAAGACCCTGGACAGGTGGCCTGTCCATCTCAGTGCTCACACACATACAGGCACAAAACACTGATTAATTTGTCAATCCCTCCTTCAGACATGTACTTCCAGGATAGGCTTTGACTTGTCACAGCAGACACAGATAATCAATATAGTTGAAATATACAGAAACACCTAAATGTTCACTCTTCATTGCAAATCACAGAGAATAGTACTCACAGGCCAGTGAAACAGGAATGTGATGACTGTGATGGCCACCATCACACTAGTGTCCTAGTCTCCTCTAACCCGCCAACTCATCTGTTGACATGTCACTGGCTACGTAGGCCTGTACAAGGGGTTCAGTTCCTGCATAAGGACAGGCTCTTCCCTCACTGACTGTGATTAATTCCACCTTTTCCTTTGATGGTGCTCAACCAATTGTGTGACATGCCCCAGGTTAGGCTCCTGATGCCTGGATCATAAAGCCTAGCCTGCACTTGGGTAAGTGACTCTACCGGTTGAGCCAATTAGGTGCTGGATTTCTACATTTTTATTAAGACCAAATTAGCTTTTTCACATACCAATGACATACTGTATGCTGTCAGCCCTAGATACCTACTGTAGGGTATGGAGGTGAAGACAGATATTAAGACCCCTTTTCTAGTCCAGGTAGAATATTTACAACTACAGTATGTGTTAATATGAACAAGGGTTTAATAAACACTGAAAATATACAATTGATAATTTGGTTATAATGTGCATTATTAAATCTCAAGCAATACAGAATTCTATCCATCTAGTTTAGCCCTCAATGAAAATACAGTAGTTAAGAGCATTAAGGTTTTAATAAAGGTTCTGTCCTTCTTCCATCAGTGTGTTTGAGCGCTACAATATTTTTACTTCTGAAATGTGAACTACTGTAAATGGTATGTCAGACCCCATTATCTGACCCCCTCCTTTTAGCTCACATCCCAAACTTCTCTCCAATGAATACAGACGACAAATTAGTCTTTTCTCTTGTTTAGTCTTCTCTTTGTCTGCACACTTAATGGTACAATATCTTATATGTACTGCAGGTATGTTCACCTGTCTTATACAGTATGTTGCTTCAAACTTAACAGTTGCAATACTGTATGCTTGTCACATTTAGCACACATTTAGCACGTCTTAATTAACTGGAAGTTATACAAATGTGAATGGGTCCATTTATAATTGACATTCATTAATTGTTTTTTCCAGTTCAACATTGGATAACACTGCTAAACTACACTGAAAGGTCCTAACTTTGGTCTATTCGTCAATTACATTTTCTCATGTACTGTAGGTACAAAGGACAGATATTACACATGCAGAAAAACTCTTGACCCAGTGGTTGATCTCTGTTAAGTGACTCCATAATCAATGTTTGAATGAAAGAGCTGAGTTTATTTAGATTAATGTGAATCCAGATAATGCTTTAAAATACATTTCTTAGATTTGTTGTGTGTTATTCATGCTTGACTTTATGTTTAAGTATGTGTTATAACCATATCTGAAGTATTTATGTGCTTTAAAATCAATATATGGTTTTCCTTAACTACCTCATTATTGTTCTGTGGACATTGCATCCACACCAGAGCAGGGGATGAACAGCCCACTAACCTCTTCACTTTTACCTTCACAGATATTTGTTCTTGCAGGTTTACAGTGAATGTCACAGCACCATTCTGATTCCAAGAAGAGTGATTTTAGTCTATTAATTTACTCTCACTTAGTAAGTCTGGGATACTGTCTTAATTCAGGAGCATTTTTATAGCAGTAGCAGCAGACTGGGAACATTTTTAATACTATTTAAAAAACTTTTTTCAAGACAGTCAGAACAATACTAATTTCATGTCACTGTTAGATGTTACAGTGCAATAAAATAGTGTATTAGTGGTGATAGTAGGGAAGTGTCATATGACATAAGTCACTTCTGTCTGTGTGCTTGTTCCATATTACTCCATGGTCAGTAATGCTTATTCAAATCAGATAAAATACAAAATAAATGAAGGTAAAAAACAGAATTTGACATTTGCATGTTAGCAAGAAAAATGCTAATCTGTGATAGTTTTTTTGAAAAAGTCCTTGGCTCTTTGCTTTCTGAGCTTATTTTCAATCTCATCCCTTTAAGCTTACCATAAACTGATTCCAACTTCTATCTAAAAACTCGAAAACACCGCTAATTATAAAACAATGCGTGTATTGTAGGTTTTCATTAAAGCTCATGGCCACCGAGTGTTTTGCCTCATTCTGTAAGTCCCCCAAGCGGATTTTGCAGGTGACACTTATCATGAATCCCAGAGCCCATTTACTGTAACTCACATTTCAGTCCTGCAGCTCCACAGTATAGCCTGGAGTGGATCTGTAACAGTTGTGGGTTTATTTTCTCCACCAGTTAAAAAGATTTTCAGACAAATATTATTTTCAGTAGAAAGAATATGTATATAGTACATGTGCAATTGAAAACGAACAAAAAACATGTCATACAGTGACATGACAACAGTCAACTGCCTTGACAGTTGTCGTGACTTACATTAACTTATTAAACAAAATTGTGTATACTTGAAGGAATAAATACTAACAAAACCTTAGGGTTTAAGTTATCATTCTATTTTTATGTACTCTATCAGTACCTGGCACTGCACTATTCTTTGCTACTCTTTAACAACATTCTTGAACACAATATAATTTACATTGTAATAATTCACAAAAAATGTGAGCGTTTGGTGTTTTTATCATCTAATGCAATTTTTGACATAAGAGAATAAAGTTAAATGCAGCTCATTTTTTGCTTATGTTGCTGTCCTGTGTTTCCTTTTTAAAAAAAAGATTTCTTATCCATGCTGTGAGCAGATGTGCTGAGTGCAGCTTGCCTGTGCTCTGATATTCTGCAAATGGCATTGGCACTATTTAACATACCATTGAAACTCCCTAAACACAGCTGAAAAGGTTAATAAATTATTGATACTACTATAACATTTTGTAGTACTGGCACCATCAGTTGAAAAATCCAGTGCTCCTTTGCCATTAATGGAGCCCTACACGAATCAGTTTTCCTATTGATGCACTAATTTACCACATTGACCTTGTCACTGCAATAATTAACTGAGAGGTTTTCAGTTTTGGAGTGGATGTCAGCAGTCAAAGAGTGATCTATCAACATATGAGAATCCCAAAAAATTAAACAACTGACTATACTGAAAAAGGAGATGAAATATTGCAAATTGAATGACTAGGAAACACCAAATACACCAAAACATTTGTGTCAAGATCTAGAGTCAAACATCTTTAAACCTGACTTCTTAATAATTATCTTTCTCATTTTAAGGACATAGGAAAAAACAACCATCAGTGTTCAGAATCCAAGTGTTAAATGTATAAAGTTGCATTTATATTCTCTTCATTTTATGTGATAAATACTATGTTTTATTGTAATCTGGACAGGCATCTAGAGAATATGGTATCAAAATCCTATTTTTTTAAATTGTTAAAGATTTTTTATTACTGTTGCCCCACAGCTTAATCTTTCACTGGCAAGAGATTTAAAGCCTGCCAGGGGGGCATGGCGTCTATCTCCCTTTGTTTATTTTTGTGTAATAGGAACATCTTGTGGAGGTGCAAAATTCAGCACTGCATAGAAGTGGAATTAAGTTCTGAATTATTGACTGAAATTATCCCCTTCTCTTTCCCATATTCCAGTTCATATATCTGTACAAAAAGTACTTGTCTCAGCCTTTCATCTGTAGTGTAACAGAATTTCATTTTATTTCAAATGCTTAGGGGGTTTCTCTAATAGTATAAAATAGTAGTGCTATTCTCTGATTTATCACCATTTTCCTTTACAAATCAATCATTTAAATGTGGCATTAAAACAAAAGACCTTTTCATTTCTTTACACAATTTGAATAAGCATATACAGTACACTATTTATCTTTAAATCTCTTTATTGCTTGTTGGTTTTCTATAAATACATTAAGTTAAAATATTCTTATCATGACAATAAAGATATTGTGAGTATAAGATATATCTTTATACTTTTAATTTATAGCAGATTTAGAATCGAACATAATAACTAAACATACTGTACACTATCCGGGGTAATGATCCATTTATGGTCACTGGTCATGTTAGAGGGAACGATTGAGGAATAGGAACTAGAAACCTGTGGAACTTGCAGGCATCATACACCTCATAGAAGTGATATATTTAATGTTTTAATACTGTAGCTTCTACATCCTATTCCATTTTAATGGGTCCTACTGATAGCATACAATGTTTTGCGTTCTAAATTGTTCTTCAAGTATATTTTTACTGCTACATAGTAGGGAAAAACTCCTGGATGAAGTATAAGGCTATCTCTGATATGAGATTCTCTTCTGTGTGAGAACAAAAATGCCTCATCTTACACACAGATTATAGTCTTTGAATTACAGGCAATGGACTTTGCTTTATGTAGCGAGTCAGCCTTGCTAGCACTTTGTCTTCTTGTGACTCACCTTGTTATTACATATGGTGCAAAGCAAAGCACAAAGGTGCCAATGAAGGTGCTAATCTTTTTGGTTGCTCTCTGTCTCCGCCTTCTCTGCTCCTCAAGGCACCGCTGTCGAACACTGTGAAGGTGAAAGACAAGAATGAGAAGCGGTTGAGTCTTCGAAGTAAAATAAAGAGAAGAAAGCAAAAACAGCTGCGTTCTATGTGAAATCAATACGCCAACTGATGTGTGATTTAAGAAACTGCTTGGGGTTGTGAGGCATTTAGAGGAAAAGGGAAATGCTCAGTTCATCTTTTTCTCACCAGAATGCATTTAATCAGGTTGGAGCAAGAATACTGCATATGATAAAGTAGCCACTTGAGTAAATAGAAAAGAGTCCTTCATCATTGCTAGTACAATACTTAGTACTTCAGCCCTCAAAGGGAATTAAAAAAATACAAGACAGAGCAAAGGGATAGTCCTCTATGTGTTTTTATACATGTGTGTGCTTGTGTCACCTGGAATATACTGATATAAGTTTAGTGTGAGCAAAACTGGGCATGACACCAAACTTTAGTTCTGAAGTGATGCAATATAATGTATTATTATCATCTTAGCATCTTCATTAAACTATTACCTTAACCATTCTATGGGATTTCCAAATAGGTGTTACCAAATACTGTACTTTGCCTGAGTGTTACTGCATGTAGGATTCATTCCAGCCCTAATGTTGCTTGGCCTCCTTAGCTACTGTATGTGATATGTAGACACTAGTATTTTGGAAAATGGTTTGGATTGTATCACAGCATATCACTATCACCACAAAACGTGTTTCTTCTTCCAGGTCCTGTGCTTTTCATATTCATGTGTGTTTCTGTCCTGTTGCTGAGGAATTTTGACTAGACATAGTGACGTAGTTCATACATAAATTCCATCTACAGTGACGAAGAAATTACATGTAAACCATTTACCTACAGTTAGTCTCTCATGCGGCAAGACATAAAAAACAATATTGTAATAGATACAAGCTCTCTATGTCATAGATTTTTATTTATTGTTTATTTTACTGTTATTTCTGAAGTCTATCGCCTTTGCTGGCAATGTGTTTAAAGACAATCTCATTCTGTTCTCATCAGTGTGGCTGCAATTAGTATGGGCAAAGACAATCTTAATATTTCTGAAAAAAAAAGATGCACTTGATGGGGGTAGAAAACATAAGGTATTAATATATGTGTCATTATCCTTCATCCATTATCTGACAGTTACTCATTCTTAGTAAGGTTCACAGCAACTGTAAACGTATCCCAGAGTTATAGGGTGCACTTTAGTCAGTTGTGCAGCACCAACTGCAGGTACACTGGGTCAGTTTGGTGACACCAATTAATCTAGTCGGTATGATGTTTTAATGTGTGAGGAAACCACAGAACCTGGGGAAGACCTACACAAACACATGGAGAACATGCAAACTCTCCGCAGAACTCCACCACACCAGGAACAAACAGAGGACTCAACATCTATTAGGAAATAGCATTAATCACCACATCATCATATTACAAATCATTGTTAATAACATCTATTAATAAATACCAATGTAAAAATCACTAATAATTCTTTGAAAGTATAACTTCTGTATAAAAGGGATGCTTATTATATGCAGTTTGGTATCAGTTACATTCTAATCAGAAGTTACAGAGGTAAGAGTAAACAGCATTGAACAAGTACAGTAAATACTTCTAATTTAGCATTAGACTAAGAAAACCTTAATCATTGTTCATACAATACATCAGTTATGCCACACCAGACAAGCTACCATCTCGGAGGTTTTCATTAACGATCGTTTTATGAAAAATAGTAGTAGCAGGCTTGTGTTTGGAGATGGGGAAACCCAAATTAAAACGAAGCAGGGCACGGGTATTTGTCCCGCACGGATATTTCCGTCGATTTTTATTTCAAGTTCGAATTCTAAATTGTTTCACGCTTCTTACGTCACACAGTCATAAGCATGAGTGCATCGACTGTACATAGCTGAGATAATTGCGCTTGTTCTAATATTTACACTCTTCACTAAGAAGGCATGTTGGCAAACGACTTTAAGGAATGGTACAGTAGTTGTGACCCATGCTTTCTTGTCGTGCCTTAATGCCAGAGCTTTTCACAAGCTGGTAAAAGAACAGATTGTCTTGTATTGAAGGCAGGCAACATTATATGGGTTTGTGACTGCATACAATAACTGTTCGCTGTCCCATTTTGTAATAATGTTAAATAGTTTAAAAATATATATTTATAAGTTTTATAGGTATAAAACGACGAGGTAGACTAAATTGTGTAAACATTCTTCGATGTATCAGATTTAGTGAGGTACAGTACTACTAGACGTCGTCTCTAATACAGTTCCCACAGCAAAATAAGAAATTATCATTTAATATAGTGTATATAATAAAGGATTTCACTGAACTAACATAACTCGCTTTGCATTCTCGTGCAGGCCGAATTAAAATCTCAAGACGTGTATTTTGTATAACGATCTCAGATCAGAGCTAACTTTACACTTGTAGACTAATCAAAGCTTTTGGCTGCCATGTCTTTTTTATTTTATTAAAGTATTATATCATCAAAGTGACAAAATGTTTAACAGTGTCATTGAATACGTATTTTCACTTTATGGTAACATTTTCTATTCCGATTTTGCACGTTTTGTGTTTTTTTTTTTTTATTTTGTGCTGGAATGTCCATTAAAGGCATGGCAAGCTCCTGTTGAGAGGACCTCTACTAATCCAAGCAAAATAATTTTCCGGCAACAGCACTTACATTAATATTGCATGGAATATATTAAGAAATATAGGTAAATGTAAATTGCTTAAAAGCAGAATGTCCCACGCTTAGAATCCTAAATATATGAAGGGCAAATTCCAAAAAATATGTAATAACCATATTAGTAAAATAAACAAAAACTAAGAAGCTCAATTAAAAAAAAAATCATTTTAGATCTTGCAAAGCTGCCACGTTGATCAGGAAGGAGTTAAGATTAATTATAAAGATCATTCAAACTGTAACAATATATCATATACAGTGTGGTGGAGATTATACAGTACATACAATTTGAATTTCTTGGAAGTTTAAATATTAAAACTCGAGTCATTTCATTATCTGCGAACGTCAAAGTAACGTTCTAAGTAACGAAAACTTCATTTTAATAAGAATCGTTTAGATATGACGGTTGATCTTAAATCAAAGTGAGTCCTGTTTTACCGATACGTTTAAAATACCCGTGTAAAAAACCGCCAAGCGCCTGCTGCGCAGACCTTCATATTGGACCTTGATTTTTTCTTACCTTGGATGAATGTCCACAAGTAGCACCAGAGTCTGCATTGTAATAATGTCTATCCTTTTACAGTGGAACCGCGCCACTTTGAGCACTTTCAGATATGTGACACACAATACTATCAAGGACAAGAGGAAAGTGAGGGAGTGGAAAGCCACAGTAAAAATAACAAACTGAGTCCGGCTACCGCTTGCCCTGGCGTTGCACAGAGTACAAGAGGCGTAAAGTTGATGGTACCCCACCCAGGAGAGGCAAGCTGCTACAGTGGAGAAGGACATGGAATGTGCCCACGTGTAGCCAAGCACCACAGCAGCATCCCGGTGGCGCATTTTTGAATGGTAACTTAGTGGGAAAACGACAGCAATCCACCTGTCGATGCTCAGGGCAGCCATACTCAGCATAGAATTAGTAGTCAAAAAGGTGTCCAAGAAGCCAACGATCTGGCAAAAGCCTTCCCCGCCAGGGTGCCCCTTGTTGATGATTCCTACTAGAGTGAGCGGCATGTTGGAAACAGTCATCAACAGGTTGCAGAAGGTTAGGTTAAGGATGAACAGACCCGGCACTTGCTTGCGTATCTCCGGGCTGTAGAGAAAGCAAATCAGCACCAGCACGTTGGACAGCAACGACACTATTATGATCACTACTACCAGGAAAGAGACAATCGCCTCTGCTGTGTCCATGGTGCGTCCCGCTCAGATATCCAGTGTTTCAATAATGGTATCCAGCCACCAACAGCAGCACCAGAATGGCATGGTGTTAGCTACAAGATAAATCCACCACCGTGCCCCTATAGTCCCTACTATTTCCCGAGGAGAGCGGCAGATCTGCTTCTTTCAACGTCACTGCCTTCAGCCTTGTGCGTAAAGCAGCAGGGATGTCCATCAAGCTGCGAAGGACCAAAAATAATCAGGAGGACTGAACCACTATCTCTAGAGATAAGCTCTAGCACACAATCTCCCCATCGATACCAAAAAGTGTATTTATCAAGTTTTTTTTTCTTTGCAGACGTCTTCTGGCACTGCCTCCGCACAGACCGCCTTTCACGTCTTACACTCTGTAAACCCTGTCTCGCGCTTGAAGGATTCAATCCGAATATTCCCAAAACCAAGTATCTGTATAAAACCTCATATCCTCAGGGTGCTTAGGAAAAGGTCCTGTTCTCAAAAGCACCGATGGGCTTGAAAAACCGCTTTACCATTATACAGGTGATTTATTTGCTTTCCAAATCTGATACTGGATTATGCCCCTTCTTCGTCTCTCCAAATTGACTGTATGTGACAGTATACGAGAGAGTAATATTTCCTCTGCAAAAACAAAATGAACATATTCAAACTGCAAATGCTACAACAGATAATGAAATCCGTGTTGTAATTTAAACAAAGGAATTTCTTCATATTACTCTGAGAGAAATATTAGCGTTACATGCGATGTTATGTAGGAAAAACGATGTTTTATCAGGCATAGTATCTTCACGGGGATGAGCCGGGCTGTGAATTTGTAGAATCGGATTTAATTAATTTTGATCACTGAAGTGTGGACATGAATTATTCCAGATCAAATGTGACTTTCTTTCTTTCAGACATATAATCCGTAACAAAATGAAAAGACTGCGTGTTATATGGTTGTGTCCAAGCTTAAACATTGTGTGCCACAGTTTTAAAGCAGGTAATAGCTTAGTCATCAATTATGAATATAAAAAAAATGTCGAGGAGACTTATCCTATCAACAGTATAACTTCCAATTTCAGCGTTTCAGCGGGAAGGATTAGAAAGGATAGTTCCGCAGAAGATTATTAATTCCAAGCGGGTTCGTACTGTGTGGACAGTTGTAAATTGTATTTGTGATCATAAGGTTAATGCGAATGATAAGTACAGTAAATGTTTTATTAAACAGATCAAATTCTTACATACTTCACCATGCAGCGTGACAATGACTCAAAAACATGCAACCAAATGCAAATAAAGTTAATCAAAAGTGGAAAACTTCAGACAGGCTGCTGACTTTTACATGCTGGCAAAACAATCGTTGTCAAAGTACCCCCCAAAAACAGACAAGAACATGAAATGGCAGCAGCAAAGGCTTGGCGAAGCATCTTGACGGGTCACACAATGAAATTCACGAGCTCAATGGGTCACAGACTTCATGTAATTATTGTCTTAAAGAGAAAGGCAACTAAAACTAGAAAGTACAGTACAGCATAAAAACTGACTTCGACACGTGGTAGTTCACGTACAAGGAATGTGTCCCAATTCCCCTAATCACCTGAAATCACAGGGTTGAACACAAAGTAGGATATAGTTCTAATGTAATCAACGTTAAGAATAAAATAGTATAACAGTTTCTACTTTTCTGTCCCAATACTTTTGGACGGCACTGTAATCTTAGCAAAATACACGTGAAACAAAATTATTATTATTATTATTATTATTATTATTATTATTATTATTATTATTATTATTATTAAGAAGAAGAAGAAGAAGCTTTAACGTAACCAAGATGTGATCATTGCCATTAATTGTTTGCTTCTGTATAAAGAGATCCACACTTCGAAACGTTCTCTGCAGTTCATAATTCTCTGGTATTTTAATGGCCAATTAGATACAGTAATCCGTGAAGGAAAATAGAGCAGCACAATTAGAAGCTTAAAACTCAAGTGGGCAGTACTAATATGTTGCACTGCGCAGATGTTGTTACTATGCTTGTAACACACTGTCCATTAATTAGGTTAATTAAATATAAGCATATAAAATATGATAAAACTGGTATGTTAATTTTATGATTAGCACTATTATTTGCATTTTGGCCTTTACTTAGACAACTAAGGGGTGTTACAAAGAGAAAATACAATTGTACATACCATATGATGTAAGATATTCACTATTCACTGATATTTGCTGAAATACTTACAGTATTTAAAAAAGTCAAACCATTTTCCAAATATATTTTCAGGTGGTGCAATTCAAATGTTCAGGTTGGCATTAAACTGAAAATCATAGGTAAGCATACTTGTTTGGAATGTAGGGTCCTAATTAAACAATTAAGTTCTGGTGGTTCTGGCTCTTGCTTCTTTGGTAAGTGTTAATTTGTAAATGAACTGAGTTCAGGATTGGATAATTGATACTGTACGTAAAAAAAACAAGTATTCTAAATCTCCATCCATCCATCACTTGAAATAGTTTATTCCATGCTGAAAAGAAAAGAGACACAACTATTCAGCTGTGAAGCCTTCTTTGGGTGTAAGTGTACTATCTTGCTGCTTACAGTATATTCCAAATATGTGTTTACAAAGTCTTTGTGTACACGGTTCTAGGAAAAGAAACCAATTAATTTTCCCAGAGAAAGGGATGGGGCTTGTAGTGTTATGGTATATGGTTCCCTACTATTCTACTTCTAGAGTTAAGCTTTTCTAGAAAGTCTGTATGATGAGGGTACAATGACAACTGGGCTAGTTAACTGAAAATGAAAGTGCATAATAATTTAGTTTTGCAAATGAACCTACAGTAGCTCCAGTGATATTAGAGCAGGCATAGAAAACCAATAAGAATACAGAGCATTAAAGCTACGTGATAGCTCCTACTTTTAGATCAGATACCTACTGACATCTCAAAATAAGAACCTGTGCTCATTTGTAGTTATCATGTCACCAAATAAATAAAATGTTAATGATTTTTTTCAAAATTATTTTTGATTTTTTTTCTGTATTGCATATAGTAATTAGTGGAGAATTGACCATTTTCCATCTTTTATATAATTGGGAAACAAATTAGCTGTGTGTTAATTTCACTGACCATCGGGACCAAGACAAAGCAGAGTTAGAGATTTTCTTCTCTTTCACGGATTACTTTATACTGATACATTAATATCAATTACTTGTTCAATTACTTGTTCGGTATACAGTACGGTCTACACCGGTTTTAGAATTTCCTTATTTCTGAGTTCTGCATTTTGGCAACTGATTCAACTAATTACTGACCTAATCTTCCAAGTTTAAAGACTTCTCTTCTCTCACTCATACAGGTTTGTTCAGATTATAAGAACATAACCAAGTCTGTGAATAGAGGAGGCCATTAGACCCATTTTTCTCATTAGGTTTTTAATAGTTAATTGATCCAATGCAATCTAAGATCATAAAAAACAGGGTATTGGCACCATAAACATAGCTTGCTCCAGATTGTGTAAAGATGTACCTCAGTGTTATGTACTTTTCTTTAGTTTCAACTCATACCCTCTCGTTTGTATCTCAGTGTTGAGATTTTGTGTTCACTTTGTCAATTCCTTTGAAGATTTTGAATAGTTAAATAGTTAAATCAGGTCCTCACGTAGGCTGTTCAAGACAAAAGAGTAGTCCATTAGTAGTACATTCTTTTGAGTCTGATTACTCTTTTTTGTGTACCAGGGAAACCACAATTGAGATTTTTAATATTCGGAACAGGAGATCTTACTGTACAAAGAAATTACACAATCTAATCAGAATATGTTTTTATTTAATTTCTGTACTTTAACTATATCTACAGTACCATCGTTCTGTTTGTTTTCTTATTGATTCCCAGTGTTATCTAGAGTTCAGATCATTGATGTAAATAAGAATGAACCGTGGCCACAATACAGATCTGTGCAGTACTCCTCCCTAATTGAATGGACAAATCTGTACTCTATCATTTGAACAGTTCTCATTCCAAACACTTTTTTCTGAATGCCTACTACAGTACCTGCAATTTGAGGATTAATATTTTATCAGAAACCTTGATAATGTATGTTAATCTAACATATTGTGCTCTGTATCCTGTATTGTTGATTTATAGAGATTTGTTAAACTTGCTAATCTGCAGACATCTAGGACCAGAGTTGTACACATTTTGTATAAGAAGATCTGTTATTTAATTATCCCTGTACTTTGTTGTACTTGATTCAGCCCTCAACTTTGGCAGTTCATCCCAATATGTGATATGCAGGATAAAACCAACTACTGTATCTGGTACCCATTCCTGATCATCTTGTTTCCTGCAATAAAGAAATGTCATACCTGAACAGGTTAAAAAACTAGATAGAAGTGTTCCAATGTTTAAAGTTCTCAATGTCAACCTAAAAGGTTATTTCAGATTTGGCTGTGAAGCAAGGTTCTTTTGGACACAAGTGAAAGTTGAGTAGATACAGTATGAAAAAATAAGTATTTCTTTACACCAAAGTCTGTGGGTGTCTTGAATAGCATACCCACGCTTCTTGTGTGGGTAAAGGAAATTCCTTAATATCCTTCAAGAAAAGACAGGTGGGATTCTCAGATCGATAAGCTACTAGCAACCAAACAAGCAAGTTGAGTTGAATGTAACATTTCCTGTGTTCTTAAGCTCAAACATGTAATCAGCTTGCTTTCAGTAGAAGGTCCTGTGCTTGAAATTGCCATTCTTTCAAAAGCATGGGTTTTCAATTATTGATGCTCAGGTTGTCACTGCCTATTAGTTTGCTTCATCAACTCTAAGCAACAGTAGCTCTTGAGGCACACAGATAATGCTTCCGGCGTTCATTCCTGCTGTGAAGATTTGTAGGAAGACGGTTCTATTAGGCAGCATGTCCTAAAAGCTTGGGAATTGATCCAGGAACACAACACGTGAGCTTCTGGCATGAGGAATTCATTGTGGGCGTATGTGTGGGTGGAAGGAGCCGTTGTTCTTGGCAACATGCAAGTCTGACATTGTGTTGAGTTAGTATCTGGTATTATTCTTTTCCTCAGCTGTCTTAAGGTTTAGTATTCTGAGTAAAATAAAATGAGGAGTAAAGTAAAATTACTTTGGAGCTGTATTTTTAGATTGAAGCACAAGAGGGGAAGTGTTTTGAAAAGCATGTTAGTACTCTGAAGAGGCTTTTATTGGGCAGGTGGAGGACAAGTATGTGCTTGCCTGTTTTATGTTTGTTTGCTGAATAACATCATAGAGATGAAAATTAAGAGATAGAGTCTGGTTCTTTGATAAGGGCCTGATCTGATAGAAAAATAATTTTTGAAAATGATTTAGGTCATCAAACCT